GTAAAATGATTCATGAGGATATAAAAAATTCCACTACATTACGTCATTCCAACTCAGTTCATACTCAAGATTATGCAGACAATTCATTGAGGAGATGCAATGCATTTCACGAAGATGGGCACAAGTTTAGTCAGTGTTTGTCCTGTGGCAAGTTCCACTCTTTGAATTCATGTAAATTTCGTAATTCTAAGAGCTTTAAATGTGGTGATATTGGACATATTCAGTCAGTCTGTAATACTAATGTTCATCTGATTGCAACTAATATTAAGACTTGTAATTCTGATTCTACTGAGTCGAGTATTCATGATGATCATTTATCTTTATCAACGATTTCAAAAGACAGTGCAGAGTCATATGGCAGTTCAGAGTTAAATGAAATCCAGAATTCTTGTGAGACAACAGTTCCTAATCAACCGATTTATCAGAATTCTCATGCTATTGTACCAGGTATGACTTTTCCTAATGATTCACATATTTCTAATGAAATTAATTGCAATTCTGAGGAAAATATGTTAAATGTACCTAATCATGATCGAAAACCTGATGTGGTTTGGATAGATGCTGATTTTTCTAACGATCCTACGCTCTGCAATGACAGTCCTAATGAATTTCATAAGAATATTTCAGAAGAATCAAATCCTGATGTCATATCATATATTACCTATCCTCATAATGCATTTGATCCTTGTGAAAAACCTGCTCAATGCGAAGCACGAGTACTAAGTGACCTCGAGTTTGATTACATTTCGGATGATTTCATATCAACTGCTGTTTACCCTTATCACAAAAACAGTTCTAATGTTTACTCTAAACAATGTGAGAAATATGTTTTAAATGAAGCCACATTACTCATAACTTGGGGATATAAAGATCCAACATTATTTCGTGGGGGAGGATAGTGTTGAAAAATCTATGGTTCGAATTCTAGATATTAATGATTTCATTACAAAACCAACATGCTGGTTGTATACAATTCCAGGTGAGTCTGTTCCGATTTCGTTTGTTAATTCCAATACTAATGAGCACTTTCTAGATACTACAAAGTTTTTATCTTATACAATGTCGGACAGACTCAGGATGAACTTAACAGGAAGACGTACAACCGATTACAAACACTTATACTTCTATTTAAGCTGTGGCGGATGTGGTGTTTGAATTAACTAATGATTCTTTTGTACTTGTTGAATGCTCGATTTCGAATTCTAAATACAATACATTCGTTTGTGCCTGTGTCTTCTTAATTCAATTGCGTTAATCCTGGAATTCCTAATTCATACGACAATTAGAATACCATAGGAATTCAATAAGTCGAATACGATAATGAGTTTTCGAATACACATATTTCATAAACTCACTGATCTGGGCAGGTACTCATCTCGTGTTCACAGAAGTTCCAACTTATTATAATAGTTTATCTACTGGTTTTAGAATGCCAAGCAGACTACCAGAAGGCTTTCAGCAGTTCTTTTAGCACTATATTAATCTATCTCATTCTGAGTTTGTATAGAGATGATCAGACCATATGAGAAATGAATCATACTAAACTTGTCGATTATATTGTGTAATTTCTTTAAACGAGTTTGGAAAGTTGGAACCAATGACGTTTGTCAGTTTATGCTGAAGTAAGATTTTGTGATGCTTATTCATACGTTTTGCCAGGATCCTTTGATTTGCTCATGGGTTGGGACAAGGTTGATAGGAAAGTAACGTTAAATAAATCTCCTGGACAAAGTTATGTGGGTCTTCGATGTTGATGCTGACATAACTCGTTTTGCTGGATAAACCCTGTCTGAAGGCTTGTGGTCACCCATTCGTGACAGATTGCCATTGGGTATGTAGTAGTATTGGATCCTAACTATAATCCTCAAAGCTGAACATGAGATAGCTGAGAAAATAGACTTTTAACGTGTAGCACTAAGAGAGGGTCAATATTGTTGGACCCGATAACATTCATCCGAAATTGAATCCATCGAATGACATGGCTCGACCATGGTCATACTTATGTAACATCACTTTTATTCGTATTAAATATATTTTTCTAACTCCAGCTCAAATGTGTTCTCCATCATATATTGGTGATTGTTACGATGCGGTGAGTCGGCGTAGACAATGATGTGACTTCCACGTAAGATCTTATAGATTAGGTAGTTGCATCATGACAAATCTACAATTTCGGGATTAGGTCTGTTATTAGAGCAGTACCAACAACGAAATAGACCATAATAGTAAAGGTGCGCCACGCTATACATTTCTCGCGACAGCTCAGGTCAAACGCTCCTTAACATATCGAAAACGTTCCAAATATATCTTCGAACACATTCATAATGAACTTCTAGTTTGACTGAATTTGGAATTCTTGATTAAAAGGATATCACGGACAACAGAGTTGTCATGATTTGAATATTCATAATATCTTTAAGAGCACACCAATATGTAGTAACAAAGTTGTTGATTGTTATTACTAACTATAGGACTTTTCAGGAACTTACTGGCTAAATACAGCTATTATCCGGTCCAACAAGTTGTATCACGCTACTTTTGATATCAACTTGGTTGTACATGCAGTCGTTTGCTTTCGATCCTAAAAAAACTGTGGAATCGGTTTACAAAACAGTATTTTGGAGCTAAGTATTGGTCATTTGCTTATCAATTTCGCGTTATATCTTGTTTTTTTCAATGTTTATTAGAGACCTATGATATTCGATTTGATAGCTTCTGTTCGTAAGCAATGACAGCAACTTACACACAACGCATCAACACTTAAGTGTTAACATAGAGAGATGATCCGTTAAAAACACTATATTCGAAGTTGGAAAAGCAATACAGCATGAATCGACACGACTTCATAAACATATATAATACTTTCAAGGACATAGAAGTCTAGCGAGCTAAAAGCAAGGCAGATCAATCAAGGAAAACCAGATGTTGTGCGTAAAATTGAGTTGGTAAAAAAAGCACTTATGAATATCTTTTTTCCCAAAACTTCAGCACTGCTAACACAATATGAGTACTCTTGTGGTCTCCTAACCACAAGAAACGTAACTGTATTATCTGAGTTGAACTTATTTCATTTCATGTTTTTTATATGTCCGTTTCATCAATGCTTATGTTCGGATGCCTAGTTATTGTATTCTATTTGAAGTTGGACAATAGCCACACAATCCACAAAGCTGTGAACACGAGACTACTCAGAAGATAGATATTTAATATTTAACGCGGAGAAATACCTAACAATGGAGAAGGCGCGAACAATGAATTGAATGGACTGAAGTTGATCGAGTGGCATGGCTCGGCCATGCAGGCGTGGTTCATCTAAATGTTACCTTATATCTTCTATTCATGTTAAATATATTGTTCCTTCTCTAGCCTAACGTCGTTCTACATCATGTATTAGTAATTGATACGATACAGTGAGTTGGTAAAGTCGATGGTGTGACTTCCACGTAAGATCTTATAGATTAGGCAGTTATATCATGACAAATATACAAATTTAGGATTAGGTCTATTATTAGAGCAGTAATAATATCATAGTAGACCATAATTCTACAAGTTCACTGATTAATGCATTAAGTGGTTCATCCGAATAATCCGTGTATGGACGACCAAGCAACGTTATTTCAAGGTTTCTAAATTCAGCAGAATGGAACAAAGTCGGCCTACAACACTTCTCAGTTCAACTCGATCAGCCTAAATGCAATATTTTAGGTTGACCAAAATGCGCATTTCATTAGAGTCTATTTCCTAGAAATAGGTTAGATGTTTAGAATACTCACTACATTAAATACTAGTGACTCATATTTCTCCATTAGTTTCTAAACTCTGCTATCTGTATATGATCTTAAGATGTGTAGGGAAATACTAAGTCCTTCTGATACCCTGACTTTTTTACTATGGAAACTCAGTCACATCAGAAGTCAGAAACGAGGGGGTCCAAGGATGTGTCTGGAAAGCTACTGATATGTCGAGAAGCATTTGGTTTATGCTGGTTATTAGTTGCAATAGATGCGTATCAAGGCTTACTCACTGGTGATCCGATGCAGATGCGCAATCGAACGCTCTTAGCTAATTGTATCCAGTAAAACTAGTGAGGTCAGTATCAAAGTCAAAGACTTTTTATCTTATGGATTTATTTACGGTCTACAAGTTCAAAGAAGAGCAACCAAAAAATTACACGTAATGAAAAATAAAGCGGTATCATATCGCATGTAGGCTATTAATTTTCAACCTATTCAGTACAGATGGATCAAAGGGTGTGGCCGTGGTATATGACGCTCCCTAAGGTCACCTTCACTCCCAATAGACTACTTACAACTTTCAATACTAAAATAGATTTAAGAAAACACACGTTGAGGACATTAGATGAAGGATTGGTATGAAATTTCACGTAAACTTTTCACTGCCAGCATCAGCAAGTTCCAGAACTTTCCTCTCGAAGTTACAGGGATTGAATGCTCTATTAAATTCTTCAAAATAAGGCTCGACTCTTAGCCATGTCCTGTGGACACTGAGGGGTATTATTCTACGTGTTTCTGGTTTGTCCAGTCTCCAATAAAAAATGCGATAGCCCCTCCAGTTTAAAGGTTCACATGAATCACAATTTCTGATCACATTATCTGCTAAAAAAACTTTGTGTCTACGACATATAATAGCGTCCGAAAGCAGACAACAGTCACCACCGAATACTTAAATCAGAACGACCAAGAAGGTGAGGTATAAATAGGCTTATTATAACAGTATAAAACAAGCGAACGAAGCCTTAAAGTCGAACAAAGAGAACTAATAGTTGATGGAGTTGTGTGGAACATACTCATACAATTCTGGTGCACACGGAGAAATTGAACAAGTACATATTTAAAATTTCAGGTATGAGTAATATACAATACAATACAATATAGAAAGAATTATACCATTCTGTAATCAAGAATAATCTCCTATTACGCAAATAAAGGTCTAAACGAGCAGTTCTCTTCTTCTACCTGGCAGATTTTGAGGCTCGAAGTACAAATGACTCGACCTTTGCTCGCGGTAGTTTCGAAAAATTATTTTTGGACCCTGAGTGTAGCCCATGGATCTAAGAAATCACTTCATCGACAAAGAAGCAGAGATTCTGTAGTTTATGATGTCCATTCAAGGGAATCCTTGAAGTCAAAGCAAGTTTACGTTTTTGGTTTCTCAGCAACTGGAGCTCTCGGTAATGAGAAATATCTTGGTCTTCATGGTTTGTACTTGTTATGTTAACCTTTCTGGTTTTGTAATTAGGTAAACCTGGTGTTGGAGGTGTATCACGGCCTATGCCTTTGGAATATTCGTCGTCTCTAGGTGTTCCGTTAAAAGCTGCTTGTGGATATGGCTTCACAACATATATATGTGGAGGCAGTCATGGGGATTTTGGCGTCTACGGCTGTGGGATCAACAGTGATGGCCAATTAGGATCACAGGTTGTCTATTCTGCAATATCCATGGTTCCATAAGTGAAAAATCAGGCTTTTAGAGCATAAACTGGTAAACTATTAAGCGTCCAGTGATGACTTTTCTCCAACGAACAGCATTATATTTAGTCACTACGACCTTATTAGTTCGTTTTTTTAATCGACTGAAAATGTCACTCAATAGCATTGTGTCTGATTATGACCAGTAGTCACAGCTTAGATGCACATTACTTTTACGTGAATCATCTTTGTTGAGACACATTGTGAATCTTTGCAGTCTTTATCTACTATTCATTGGATTAACGCTATTTATTTGTCATTCTGCTCTGACTGTTAAGTGCATTTTAGGAACGATAACCTTTTAGTTTATTCCCGTTTGCTTCTTAACGTCAGTAAATTATTATCGTCCAACATATCGAAGAAATCCATTTGGTATTTCAAGAAAAGAGAAGAGCCTTGCAAAAATAGTGCGCTTGAACACTAGAGAAAGCAAAGTAGACATTCATTTTGATTCACTTATCAGTTCTTTTATGTGTATTTATGGGTTATGATATCTGTGGTATGGGAGGATTAACTTAATCCACACTACGTAGAGCAGATGGACATATTTTGGCCTACACTTTCTCATCGTAAAGGGCTTTTAAAACTCACTTTTTTAGTAGCCAGTCTGTTTAAAAATACAGTTATTCATGTTGAGTAACCATTTTAGTTGTATGCCGAAATTTCGTTTCGGAGGTTTATCGGAATTTTCTGGCAGCTCTTCACAGGTTTATCAACTGGCTGAGTTGTGCTTGAGCATATACCCACTTCTACCTAATTCATCGATATAAATAAGCGTTCAGTTAAGTGGTGTGGGTAATATCAGTCATTCTTTTTAGTATCCATGTATATTACGTTTGATTCAAAGCCGGTTATACGAATTTGCAAATAATCAATAATTTGCACATTTCTATCTAATTATTTTCTTAAAATGATTATTCTCTTCATTGATTTTTAATATGTCGCCTTTCTAAATAATATTTATGATGCATGTGGGTACTACATATTATTGAGCTGGTCTTGGAAGCATCACAATGCATTTTGCTAGCATAGGAGGTTTGTAGAGATTGTGTCTTGCTCGATCCTTGTTACCGACGTATTATTTGTTGACTTGAACACAGTGGTAACGTTTGTTTCTGGTATAATAATAAATAAGTCACAATGCAAAGTTTCGTTAGCTGTGCTATATTCCAAACAAGCTTGTCCTCAAGCAAAGCGATCAGGAAAATAGAGTGGGTGTATGAATGAAATTTAAGTATATACGTATAAATCACCGTACGTGTGTGTAAAAAGTGTCTAAACCGAAGTATAGTGTTTGGATCCAATGAGAGATCATCAAACAAGCATATACATATATGTACGCGTGTGGCGCATATATATTTTGTGCCCACTTGTACCAATATTTATGTGTTCAAATAAATAAAATATATGTATGCACTGGTTAAAGTTCACGACAAAATGTGAGTACGAAATAACCAATCATATTGAAATTATACCATTGACTTAAGAATTTGGCTCATATTTTTTAAACGCTGCTCAGGAGAATCGGTATACAAAATAACCAAAAAAAAGTGGATGACTAACCTGTCCGCAAATTAGAACGCGGCTGCTACAAGATTATTAGATCCCTCGACCTTGGCTAATGACTATAACTAATCTGAAACGAGGAAAAGCAGCTGGTCCAGATGGATTGGGTCCAGAGGTCTTAAGTATGGTGGTCCAATTTTAGCGATTAGGTTGACTAATATTTTAGCTAAACTCTGGGAGTTGGATGTAATTCCATCTGACTGGTCATAATCACTGTTTGTCCCAATATATAATAAAGGGTCGAAATCATCCTGTGATAACCATACAGGGACTAGTTTAACATAGCATCTAAAATAATAGCCTCAATAGCTATCGGGCGCCTAACAAAGATTCGTGAAATGCAAACACAGTAAATCAGGCTAGCTTCAGACCCGATTGTCACCGCATCAACCAAGTATTCACTATTCGTTAGGTTCTTGAACATAGGCATGCTGACCGGCGTCTGAGAACGGTGCTCTTTCTTGACTCTGCAAACCAAGAGGTTCTCTGGCAGTGTCTGTCATTGGAAGGCGCACCTCGGAAGTACATAAACCTTGTGAAGGCTTTTTACTTCGACACCACCAGTCGAGTCAGAGCTTATAGCGAGCTGTCATCTGATTCCGCAAACTCAAGTAGTGACCTGCAAGACTGTCCACTATCTCTATTTTTTGTTCAACTTCATCATAGATCGACTGCTGGAAAAAACGTTCTCGTCCACTGAATTTTCGGGCACTGGTCTCCTACCAGGAGGTCCACTTATCGACTTAGAATACGCAGATGACATTGTCCTGTTTGGTGAAGACGCTGATAAAATGCAGAGCTTTTTGGTAGTACTCGGCAACAATACGAGGAAGTTTGGGATGCCCTTTTCCCTCTCTAAATGCAAGTTGTTGCTCCAAGACTGACCTGCGTCAACACCTGAACTAAGGATAGGGAATGAAGTAGAAGAACACTCCGACATCTCCACTTATCTTGGAAGTCTGATTAGCCCAAATGGGTTGGTGTCTGACGAAATCACTGCACGAATTAAAAAAGCTCAGTTGGCTTTTGCCAACTTACGTGACCTATGGCGAAGGCGAGATATCCGTCTATCGATTAAGGGATGAGTATATATGTATTTGGTGCCCTCTTGTACCAATATTTATGTGTTCAAATGAATAAATAATAAACGTGGCCATTAAGTGTAGAAGATACTCGTAAGCTATTAGTATTTGGCCACAGACGCCTTAGAAATGTTGCTCGCATCTGCTGGGAAGTGAGGTTTGACACAAAGTAATAGGGAATGATGGTAAATCAGTCGATGAAGCTGTAAATTTTCATCGACTAAGATGGTTCGACCATGTGTCACGTATGCCTGAACACCGACTACCACGACGCGCAATGCTGACTAGTGTTGGAAACGGATGGAAGAAATTTAGGGGCGGCCAAACCAAGACGTGGCATCAATTCTTGAAGTCACTAACTTGTAGTCTGAGCCATGTTGGTAGATGAAGACTAATTAGTCGGGGTCCGTGCGACTATTGCAACCAATGGTTGGAGACTGTGAGTGACATGGCTCAGAATCGGTCACAATGGCGTCGGTGTATACACTCTTCGTCTTTCCTTAAACAGTGAGATTACAATTGCTTTATATCTTTCTTTCTACGAACTAATTCTTTCTCCCTGTATTCTTATACACAATGTTTCTTTTATATGTTACTACCATTGAAGTGACTACTTCTATGAATTTGGTGTTCATGTTGTTGTGCTAATGAAGTATGGCAACTTGGACCGATGCATATATGTGCCTGATCCTACGTTGTAGCTGACTGACAAGATTATTAGGTTTTCACAAACTACTCTAAGTTTGACCGTCACTGAAAATCAGGAAGCAGTGAGTGGCTGTTTCACCCTAGTACGAGATTCTTCAAGAGCACACCCCCACGAACAGCGTAGGGTTTCAAACCCAGGACATTCGACTTACCGCACGAACGCCTAACCTCTTGACCACAACCAAGACCTAACGATGAACATCTGACTTCAATCAATTTACAATATCGTACGATCATCTTTCATTGCCAGTGGTGGATAACTGTCTTGTACTCGACATGGTTGAACCGCATGGCTTATCATTCGAACTCTGAATTCCATTCAGAAGTTGGTCACTACTGTGCACAGGATTACTATTATTATGGGGATTTTCATTGTCCATATTTACTATTACAAAATAGGTGGAGTTCCAAAATCACCTCATACCATTTGGTCCTGCGAATTCATTATTTCCCGAAACATATTGTCTGTGTTTACTCTTTGATTTTTAACATTTTCGTCACATTATACTAATATAGTGTGGCAAGTTGAACCGATGCATATATGTACGAGGTTCTCCAAATCAATCTTCTCGGAGTTTTACTGATATTTTTAGGTTTTTCCCTAAAACTACTAAAAACATTGAACTATTTGGTAAAATCACTTTGATTTGTCCAATGGTTGTAAGGAGCACTTTATTACTGAAGATAAATAACCACTCACTTGAATCGTGCCCTAATATTTAAAATTTCATTGTTAGTGAGCACTCAACCCATCGACCTAATTAGGGTTTCGTTGGGTCACAATGTCGTGAGTCATCGTTTTAGAGAACAGATTGTAGATTAATTGTCGTCTACATTTGCTAGAGACGTTATATTATGATTTTGATGTTATATTATTTTGATGTTATATTATTCATGTTTAGATTAATGTACGCTAATAGAGCTGTAACTCATGAGTTTAAAAGTTAGATTTCCAAAAAGTTCCATCTATCAAGTTTTGTGCACTCGTTTAATGAAGTTGACATTTACAGACTAAGTAAGACATGAAGTTTCGTGTAAGACATATGTAAATAGTGGGTTTCATTACTTCCACTTCAGTTGATCATAGTTATAATAGAAAAAGCTTTGGCTTCGCGATCTTTCCGGTCTAGCATCACCTCCAGGTAAAGACCTAGTTATATATGAAAACAAGCAGAAATACTCAGTAAATCGGTATCAGTCAGTTGCGCAACTCAGAAGATAAACATTAAATCTGCTTGAATGTTATACCAACCTACCTTGAGGTGAACACAACTTTGATGATTAATTATTTTAGTTGTTCCTGTAATACAGTTTCGACTTTCTCGTCGTTAGGCTGAGATATAGGGAATATTCCTGCTGTTCCTCTACTGTATCCACTATAACTCAAATAAACTCGCTCTCACAAAGTATGACCAGAGTCTGCGCACGTGCTCTAGAATGAACGTCAATCTTCCATTGAGCTTCTGTAACAATCCCCGATGGTGATATGGTCTATTTGCGTTCGTCGTCGAGTCTATTTTGTGGTAGGTTGTTATGTCAGACTATGTAAAACGTCACATTAAATCTTTCAGAAATTATAAAGCTTTCGCTTCAAAGATTCTGACGAAGTTTCTTGGGTGAGGCAGTAAGTTCTAAAACGACTAATTCTAGAGTGAGATAGATGGATACATCCCAACCCGGTATGCTAGAAATCCAGCTCACGGGTCTTCTCTCCATGGTTAATGTTAGCAATCAATTTAATTGCTGCACATGATGTCTGGGAGTGTTTATTGTATTGAAGTCATGAGATTTCCCCTAAGTTGTTTACATTCTAGGGGATATAGATCTAGTGTTTTCATACATTCTTTTTAAGATTTAAACTTAGGGTCACAAGCTGATCTTGTGGCTCAATTTTGTATGTGCTCCCAAGCATTTATGTCACTTCGAAACAGAGGAAACACTTTTATTACGTTGCGTCGAGCTGATAAAACCTAAAAATCAAATGAGAACTTTTACTATTAAATTATGGTCGACAGGTTTCGATTCACACCTAGAGACAAGCATTATTATATTGACTGACTTCAGGCTATGGTAAAGATTTAGTATTATTTAAAGAATTTTCCTTTCATTTTAGTCAGTTGGATTAAAAACCAAACTTCCTACAGGCAACTCAGTAAATGTTGTTCCTGAACTTGTGAGAATTGCTATCTGTCTTGATAATACGCAAAAACAAATATATCGTCCTTCTCATGTGGCATGTGGTCGAGCACATACTATTATATCCTATGAAAATTTGAAAGATTCGAATAGTGATACACCTCCTCTTGTTTTCAGCCTGGGTAACAATGTTTTTGGGCAGTGTGGAAGAGAAATAATTCCTGGCGAAAAGTACGACCGTGATGTGGAAGTTATAACAAAAATAGTCTTGCCACCAGAAATAAAATCTATCAAACAAGTATGTTGAGGGATTTATAAGTTATTTTGCACTTTGAATTTGTATGTAATTATTAGGTCATATTTGGCTAACCTTAGTCTCCATTTATTTCTGTTCATAGTTTCGACTTTGTAGTCAGTTTTAGTAGTTTTGACAACAATCAGTTTTCGTCTGTCATAATGCTTATTTTTACTGTTAGCTTACTGAATCAGTCGTTCTATACATCCTATTTCACTCTTTAGTTTGCCTTTAATTAATGCAGTCAGCGAAAACTTGTATAAAGATGATACTCCAGTATAGCTCTTCAGATTTGTTTAGCACTAAATTACTTACGCCTGTTACTCCCAATGGAGCATAGGCCGCCGACCAGCATTTTCCAACCCACTCTGTCCTGGGCCTTCCTTTCCAGTTCTATCCGATTTTTGTTTTGTTTTTTTCCATGTCTTTCTCCATTTCTCAGCGTAATTTATTCTTTGGTCTTCCTCTTTCCCCTTGGCCTTGAGGATTCCATGTGAGGGCTTGCCTTGTGACGCATTTGAGCGCTTTCCTCAATGTATGTCCTAAATAAACTTGTTTAAAACTATACTTTGGTTGAGTTGAGTCTCCAAGATGTGTATAAAACAAAACCTCATGTCAAATGAGTAGTAGAGAGTCAGGTGTCAGTCATTATTTCAAGCCCATAATATATCTTATTCTAATTTTTGGACAAACCAATCTATTCATTCTACTTGAGTCATATTTTGACCTTGTTAATTATTCGCTTATCAGTCTTGACTGTTTTTATATGAGCGTATATGTGTGCACACTACATATCTCATGTCTCATCACATGTCTGTAGTTTATTTTGTCTGCCTATAAATATTGAGTAACACCTGGCTAAAAATGAGTTGGCTTACCAGCCATCCTCCCTGCGCGTTATTTTGCTTTGTTCTATCACGTTCACTTTACATACAAAATATACGTATTCAAAGGCCATTCTCGTTAATTGACTTATCTAAATTCCGTTATTGACTAACGTGATTTAAGTCGATAATTGTATACGAGGATAGGTGATAACGAACATTCGTACGATCTAAATGGAGTCAGATCAACAGGCTACTAAAAGAGAATTACGGGTAAACGTGTTGGGATATTCAGGAAAATATCCCAAGAATTATCCTGTTAAGCCTAATGTTATCCTTGGACATGAAATGGTATCATCTTATTGGTGAATATTTGTTTAACGTGTCATTTTCCTACTGGCCATTATTGTACAATGTTATTTTCTATTTATGGGACGTTGTGGTCTGCTTGACTGGTATATAAACAAAGTATGTTTGAAATACAATGATTCATATCTCCGAAGCTGTCACTTGTGTTCTGGACTCAACTGGCTGGGTTAGATAGGGGAGCGAGACCAATCAGAACCCTAGGTCGTTCTACGTGTTTGTGCGTCTTTGGTCCGATCAATAATTCCCTACCCTTAATCCGCAGCATCATTTTCACGTTATAACAAAACGACAACTTCACAATTGTAGATTTTTATGCTAACATTTCATATGACTTACTTACTTGCGCCTGTTACTCCTCGTGAAGGAGCATAGGCCGCTCACCAGCATTCTCCATCCAACCCTGTCCTGGGCAATCCTTTCTAGCTCCGTCCAGTTGTAATTCATCGTTTTCATATCTGCTTCTATTATCCGACGCAATGTGTTCTTTGGCCTTCCTCTTTTTCGCTTCCCTTCAGGATTCCAAGTTAGGGCTTGCCTCGTGATGCAGTTTGACGATTTGCGTAATGTATGTCCTATCCATTTCCATCGTCTTTTCCTAATTTCTTCTTCAGCTGGAAGTTGGTTTGTTCTCTCCCACAGTAGGCTATTGCTGATGGTATCCGGCCAATGGATGTTGAGTATCTTGCGTAGACAGCTATTTATAAATACTTGTACTTTCTTGATTGTGGTTGTTGTAGTTCTCCAAGTTTCAGCTCTGTACAATAGAACTGACTTGACGTTGGTATTGAAGATTGTGACTTTGATATTGGTTGAAAGTTGTTTTGAGTTCCATATGTTCTTCAATTGTAGGAATGCGACCCTTGCTTTGCCGATCCTCGCCTTTACGTCTGCATCTGAACCTCCTTGTTCATCGATGATGCTTTCCAGGTATGTGGAGGACTCTACATCTTCCAGAGTTTCGCCATCAAGAGTGATTGGATTGCTGTTCTCCGCCTTGAATTTGAGGACCTTGGTTTTCCCTTTGTGTATGCTGAGGCCTACTGATGCAGAGACTGCTGCTACACTGGCTGTCTTTGTCTGCATTTGTTCGTGTGTATGTGATAGGAGGGCTAGGTCATCTGCGAAGTCCAAATCGTCTAATTGATTCTGAGCTGTCCATTGTATTCCGTGTTTTCCTTCAGATGTCGAGGTCTTCATAATCCAGTCGACCACCAGAAGAAAGAGGAAGGGAGAGAGTAGACAACCTTGTCTGACTCCGGTCCTTACTTGGAATGCATCTGTCAGCTGTCCTCCATGCACTACTTTGCACTGTAGTCCGTCGTATGAGTTCCGGATAATATTGACAATCTCAGGAACTCCGTAGTGTCGAAGAAGTTTCCATAATGTCCTCCTATCTACACTGTCGAATGCCTTTTCATAATCAATGAAGTTGATGTATAGTGATGAGTTCCACTCAACTGATTGTTCGACGATGATCCGTAGTGTTGCAATTTGGTCTGTGCACGACCGATCCTTACGGAATCCAGCTTGTTGATCTCGAAGTTAGGCGTCTACTGCATCCTTCATCCGGTTCAGCAACACTCTGTTGAAGACTTTCCCTGGTATTGACAGTAGTGTAATGCCTCTGTAGTTTTCACATTTGCTCAGATCTCCTTTCTTTGGAATCTTGACGAGGTGTCCTTCTTTCCAGTCCATCGGCACTTGTTCCTCCTCCCAAATCTTTTTGAATAGAAGGTAAAGCATGCTTGTGGTTGCCTCGATGTCTGATTTCAGTGCTTCAGCTGGTATGTTGTCGGGTCCTGCTGCTTTCCCGTTCTTGATTTGTCTGACGGCCATTCTAATTTCTTCCGTCGTTGGTGGGTTGACATCTATAGGAAGATCTATGTGTGCTGCTCCGATGTCCTGTGGATTCGTTGGGGCAGTCCTATTCAGGAGTTCCTCGAAGTATTCTACCCATCTGTTACGCTGTTGTTGAATTTCGGTGATTGGCTTGCCTTCTTTGAACATTTCATATGAAGTACATATTAAACTTTGGTATTTTAGTTAACTACCAAACAGTTGCATTCACGATAAATAGAAACTATCCAACAATGTTTTTCCTATGCTAGAGAAGATTTATAGCTCAGGTGGATGATTTTGGTGGAGTTTTGTTCCCTGAGCTGGATGGTTTGGTTATGGAGCTTTCATCGTTATTCTGAATGACATCATCGAGATCGAGGTCTATGGGACAAGCTGTGAACTATATGTGGAGAAATTCGAACACTTCACTTCTACCTGAAGTCTGCGTTGATGATGTCGTTCAGAATAACGATAAAAGCTCCACGACCAAACCATCCAACTCAGAGGACAAAACCAACAAAATGTTTTCCTTACCATATTTTCATGATCACTGTCTACGTTGCAATTAACCTATCATCGGAAAATTACTTTTTAAGGTCTTCATATTTTACTTTGCTGTTTTTCATAGTTAGTTTGCGGTCAAGACCATACCTTGTTACTCAGCTCAGACGGTGTTGTTTATTCCTGTGGACTTGGATCAGATGGTCAGACTGGTTTAGGTCATTATAATGTGGTTGATCGATTTACTGCTGTAAAAGGTTCATTGGTGAATGAACGTGTTTGGTAAGCTCTTAAAACTTTGTTCAGTTTAACCCGGTGTTTATGTTTAAAATCCATAAATGTTAGGCTTCATGGAGCACTTTATATCGTACTTGTTCATAGACTGTGAACAAAATATTTCTCATCAATTCATTGTCCATACATTATTTTTTACCCCATATGACATCACGGTCATGTAAACAGGGGTGTGCTCACAGTTTACTGACCATAATCAAGAGGTACGGGGTTTCTTCGTGCTAAACACATCAAAATCTATTATAAGTTTTGTACATCTGGCACGATGACACACTTGAACCCCATGTTCAGTAATACCTTGAAATAGGCATCTGTCAACCTGTATAATAAACAGCAGTTGTTTATATCTCAAGATTATTTAGACGGTACATAATCATTATGAGCATTACTAATGTAATTGGCTTCTTCTCGAGAACTTTAAAACATTTGCAAAGACCTATCTGTCGCTTCAAAAGGCTTATTTTACGTGCGTCTGGCCTTGCTGACGTTGGTGTCGCACTAAGGCAGCATTATCGACTGGACCCCCATTGACAGTCGGTTATGTGCTGTTAGATTAGAAAGTTCCATCAAAGTGAGAAAAAATCGGCGTGAGAAACGATGTCTTTTCGTCATCGCCTGTGCCCCGACAGATTGCAGCCCGGATGCAATCAAGGATGAATTCTACCACCAGTTAACTGTTCTTCTCTAGAAAGTGCGTTCGAGAGATATTGTAGTACTAGCCGGAGACTTGAATGCTCAGGTCGGGCGTCTAGGCATAGAAGAGAGTCGTTTAGGTGGTCGATGGGACTTGTTGGTCTCAGGACATAATGGGGACCGTCTACTGCAACTTTGCACAGACCACAACCTGTTTCTAGCTAGCACTAACTTCCGGCACAGTCATCGCCGATGTACCATCTGGCGTCCTCCCTCTGCATTTTAAACCTGCACTCAGATTGATCACATCGCGACCAGCTACCGCTGGCGTGGTTGTGTATAAGACTGCCGCTCCTTTTGGAGTACCTATCTGGACTCGGATCATGACCTGGTCTGCGCCAATCTTACCTTACTTTTCAGTGGCCGACTTATTGATCGTCATAAACGGACTGATGTCATTAAATTGGTGCGATGTCTGTCGCAAGTAAGTATCAAACCGAGCTAACTTCCAGGCTAGCTGCCATCCCACCGAAAAGTATAGATGAGCATTGGTTGCAGCTGCGTGACGCCATGAAAATAGCGAGTAAAGCCACTTGCAGCTTCATGAAACGTCCCGCTTATAAGCACTGGGTTTCTTCAGGCTCCTTACAGCTCATCGAAGCCCGTCGGTCTACTCCGGGTGACCGTGAGTTTGACCACAAACATCTGGTAATTACCGGAAGCTCTTTCAACTCATCCGAGCCACTGGCACCAAGAAGTGTGGTGTGAGTGAAACAATCTGTGAGGATAACGGGATGCCAATCATTAACAACGTCTAGGTAGCTACATAAGTGCTAGTGGTGGCGTGAGTGATGAGATCAATGAACCTATAGTGAAAGCCAGAGCGGCTTATGCCAATCTGAGTCATCTTTGACGCCTTAGTGATGTTGGTCTGGCTGTAAAAGGTCGGGTCTACAATGTGTCGGTGAGAGCAGTTCAGCTCTATGCTTGTGAAATCGGTCCTCTTCAAGTTGAGGATGTTAGACGACTCTGTGTGTGATCATCGTTGTCTCCGAAGGATTGCTGACATCCAGTGGCAACACCATGTTAATAATGCAGAGGTTCGGCATCGTGTGTTAGGGCACAAAGACGATAATGCAATTGGTGTCACCATCTTGAAACACCGACTTCGGTGGTTCGGACATGTTCTACGAATGTCGTCCCAGAAAATTCCACGTGCATTATTTGCCTACACTGGGACTGACTGGAAAAGGCGGAGAGGTGGTCAATGTATGACATGGTGTCGTGGTATGAAAGAAAGCTGCAAAAGGCTGGCTTCTGTTGGTTTTTCACGACTCCCTGGCTGGGGTCCGAGAGATGGTGCAACACAGTGGCTAGGGACTTTATCAGATATGGCTGAGAATAGAAGCCAGTGGCGATCCTGCTGTAACCTCCTTTTACTTTCTTATAAAAAATGGTTGTTTCTTCCTTAACTGAAAGATTTCTTCTGACTGTACTTTTCCGTTTCCCCCACTATTATTATTATTATTATTATTATTATTATTATTATTATTACACAACCATACACTAATCTGTGGTCATTATTCTCTTTTTTTTCTTATATACACCTTACATTCTTTTTCTGTTCCCATTTTCATTGTTTTGTGTGGCGCATATATATCTGGTGCCCTCTTGTACCAATATTTATGTGTTCAAATAAATAAAGAAATAAAATTCAGCTTCCAACCAAGTAGTTGTAAGTTCAAATTCTGTTCCATCTACTTCGGTTCGGGCGGATGGATAATGTCATTAGTCCTCATGCATACATTTTGATTCAGAACGTAATGCAAAAGCTCGTGCCATAATTATGAGCAAATCATGTTATAGAAGAACAGCTTTAGATGAAATCATGAAAAAAAACCTTGAAAACTCTATAATCTCATGCGCACTGAATAAATTCAAGTTCATTGCTGTGATTTGTTTTGTAGTACAAGCTAGCCATTAGTCTGGTAATTTACTGGGACCCTTTCGTTGATTCTTTTAATATGTTGTAGTGAGAGTAAAACGCAATTGGCCATTGAGTGTGGACAAACATGTAGCTAACCTACTGACTCAAATATGTATTTTCCTTTCCTCTTGTTGATTTCTGATCTGAACTCACTGAGATTGACTACTTGGAACGGTGTGGAGTAAATTATTATCTTTCGTTATTCTAGTTCTCTACTTTTGGTTGTGAGCTGTGTATCTGATATAACGTGATCTGTTCTCTGTATTGTTTACCGTTCAAATATCAATCTAGCGTTACGTAGTATACTGCAGAGGGAAAAATATTTTAAACCATCCTTCATATCATTTTTTAAACATTGGCATCAGATAAATTGTGTCTTTTAATAAGTGGTTATACTGTTTTACTTTACTATAAGTTATAAAGATCTTTGTGGATCTAATTCTATTCTTATTGAAATCTCTCGAACTTATTGAGCTTTAAATCTTCTAGTTATGCATGTTTGACTTGTAATTATTTTATTATTATTTCAGTTCTATTTCATTTGTTGGTATCTCTTACATTCTAGTTAATCCTGTCCGAAATTCTATGATTGATATTACTGATAATTATAGAAAATTGTATGACGTTGTTTAACAGTTAACATTTCTGACATTTTTTATACCGAGTTAACAGTAACAATTGTTTTGGATTGTTCTTTTTTTTAAAAAAAGTTTGCTATCGTCTCGCGGTGATACTGTTCTTGCTCTTACTGAATCAAATAAATTATTTGCTTGGGGTAATAATGAATACGGTCAAATATGGCCATTAGATCAAGATGTACAAGTTTCAGAACCTGTTCACTTAAATTTAGATCATTGTATTGTACCAGTGGAATCTAATTTATCATCAGATAATGTTCATGTAGGTGAAATACAATCAATTGCTTGTGCCGGTTCTATGTGTTGTATTGTTAATAAAATTGGACAGGTAAATTTAATTATTTTATAGGTTAATTAAAAATTGTATTCTAATTTAATTTAGTTTTTCATTTCAAATTATATTGATATCATTAATTGTAGAATATTTGATCATTTTGATATAAGACAATTAATAAGGAAACAATCTAGAAAATGAAGCTTATTATATTCTTTTACAACTTAGTATTCCTTGACCTGTATACTTCTCTGAACTTTTTTGAATCAGAACAAGAATTGAGAAGAGATAATAGTTTGTTCCAATAAACTTAAAAAGACCCACTTTTAGAAACATTCAAGTGTACATAGAAATTTTCTAGCCTATCCTCAATTCGTTCAGTAGCGCTAATTGGTTGGAAAAGTCAAATAATAAGTTTATTCCATTTTGATTTTAACTTAAGTGCTGACTAAGTATAGAATAGTCAGAGCTGTACCTTACTAAAAAGGCTGTCTTCAAACTAATATCTATACTTGGGATATTACGAGTGTATCATTAGTTCTATTATTGTTGGACTGGATGGTTATCATTGTTCATTAATATAATGACTAGATCTGATGGTTTCTGATACACACCTCCATTGAAAATCTTAACATGATAAGTCTGGAATATAATGTACCTACAACCTCAATGTAAGTGATGGTTGCCATTGAAAAGTGCCACCTGTTTGTAATACAAGGGGACTGACCAGTTAGTGTTAAGCGATGGTTTAGTGGTTATAAAGCGCCTACTTTTTAAGTAATAAGTCGCCGGTTAAAGCCCTTCACTTGTTTTAAGTAACCAGGTAGTTTCATTAGTTGTCACGCAGTGTGTTTCATAACCAAGTAACTTACATTAGAATCAACCCAGTAGCTTGATAGATTTTCAATGAAATGCTGAGTTAATGGTAAATTAGTCTAGTACCTTTATTGCGGTGTTAAAATATGAACATTTTACCATGCATATGTACTTATCTTTTTATCACCGATAAAAAGATATTAATTAAAACGGGAGATAACATAAACTTAGGATCAAGTGCCATGTAATTTATAATTTCTTAAAAATGACTATGGCTCTATTGACTTCTACGCTTTGTTAATATCATCGCATTGATTAGACTACTGAGTTCCTTTTTTCATATCCTTGCTTATAACCCCACAAACGTTGTTTAAAAGTGTGAGAGATATCTTTAAAGACAATTCACATCACGAAATTACGTTGACCAGAAAAGGAATCCCTAGACAGTTGTTTCGCCCTAGTTCCTAGATTTGACAGTGCTCACTCACGACCATATATGAAACCGACTTCAGAAGCTTCAGATGTTATTGCTTACACAATAGCTACAAATCATTGATTTTGAAGCTAATGCTTTACATTCTCAACTATATTCTGTTATGTATTTCTTCTCTTTCCCACTGAATACAATAAGTTTACCAATAACATTTTCTGTATGTTCCGAAATAGTGTATTACCTACATAGAATCCCAAACTACCAGTCAGAACGTCAGGAAGACTAGAAAAGTACTTCACTCTTTTCTGTATCATTCAAACTCGATTAGTTTACTTGAATTTACGAACGGTAACAGTTATTGTTTTAAATAGAAGTTTACAATTCAGAAATATATCAAAATACCATAAACTAATTTCTCGATACATATATATTAGAAATATATGTTCTGATTCACTGGAGAATGGGTTTCAAGTTTCTCATTTGCATTTGTTTACGTATTCATAACACCCCCATTTTTGTGAAGGATTATCGTTCATGGAGGTTTGTACATTTCCAACTTGGTTTAGATTGAATTCTTTGTATTTATGATCTTGATCTCCTTCCTGTCTCTTGTTTGCGTATATCTACAAAATATTTTATACGAGAAATAATGTGATTGATTGTAGGTTTACGGTAAAATCATAGTTTGTTTGATATATCATTTTGAACGTGACTGATCCACAATGATGAAGCTTTATCACTAGATCTTCGAGAGTTATCCACAAAACTGGTTTTCCTAACAAACATATAGACAGTATTATTACTAAAGCGGGTTTTGGGAGATTAGTCCAATCGAAAGAAATAACTTTTCGCCACTGCTTGGTTTTCAGTTATTCGCCAACTAATGACATATCTGTTCATCATTAGAACTGTCTTCAAGTTGAGCAAGTCTCCATAAATTTCCATATCTTGTTTAATACTATTATTTTTCATTTAATTTAGATTTTTTTGAAAATTATGCTCTTATCACTAAAAAACATAATGCATTGTACTTCAAACATTTTGTTTCTTATATGTATTTATATCTAATCAAGGTATTCGTTTGGGGCTTTGGATGTATTGGATTAGGTCCAAAGGTTACTTGTTCACCTCGTCCAACATTGATTCCACCTGGTTTATTTATACCAGCTATCGTAAATAGTGAATCTTGTATCAATTATGTTGCTGCTGGTCTACATCATTTTATTGTCCAAAGTAATGATGGTTTATTATGGGCCTGGGGTGCTCCACGTGGTGGTTTATATTGTCTAGGCTTAGGTAAACAAATTACAAGTAATTCTGTTAATCAAACCTACCCAGTTCCATTACTTCTTCCAATTAAATCTAAAGATGTAGTATGTGGTGTTGATCATACTGTTGTGATTGGCAAATCATTTGGTTAATATTTGCTCATTGTTCATATATTATTTATTGTAAATATGTATACATCTCCTCACGGAACTAGTACTTTAACAAAAAATGTTTATATATATACGATTGTACAGCTTGATAATATATATATATATATATATATATATATATATATATATATGCTGTAATTCTACCCTTCTGTATTACATAACTATTATTCAAGAATTGTATGTCTGATAGTTCAGTCTGTATTGTATTATTCGCATTACAATTTTGTATAATAAAAATACATTGGCAAAATATGTTTTACTTATGTTCTGTTTTGTAGTTAGCTTGATTTGTTTTATTAACTTAATTTACTTATCATTTATTGATGCTCTTATTCTCCATATTGAATTTAAATCCAGTAGATTCATGTAACAATACTCTTAATAATTAGTTACACAAAATGTATCTATTAGATCTGTCAACTAAGAATTGGAATTATAATAATGTCTCTTGATTACTGCACCAACAAATTTACGAAGTAGATGGACTACTAGGATTTGAGTTTCTGACCTTGTTGTTGAAAATCAAGTACTCATTAAGCTATCGGTTCGCATTTCTGAGAGAATGACTGCTATCTTTACAAAAGGAGAAAAGTAGGAAATTGAGCAATATGACATTCCGTATGATTGGGTTTATTTTTATAGAATATTTAGTTTCCAGAAGTTAGACTAAAAAGTAAGATACGTTTACTTAGTTAAAGTATATTGTTTGTTATGTTGTTTATCCATTGCAACTGTTCATTAACAAATCAATATAACTAACTTCCAAAGAAAATTGGCCACCTATTTATCCAGTCATTTCTTATAATTCAGATTTATCTTCAATTATTTTTATGTTGAACATTACAATTATCCCTCTATTTTGATGCTAAATATACCTCGACTATCAAAATTTACTCATGTGTACTTTTAAATTTATAACAGAAACGATTAATAATAAACATATTTTTGTTATTTCATATTTGAATTCATGAGTCGATTAAAGCTAGACCACCATGGAAAACCTGAAAGCACTGGACGGTCGTTTCGTCCTATCACGGGACTCCTCAGCAGTGTGCATCCACGATCCTGCTCGCGGGATTCGAACCCAGGACTTTCGGTCTCGCGCGCGGACACCCAACCTCTAGACTACTGAGCTGGCATCCAACGGTGTTAATGTCTAACTTCAGTCAATCCACGAAATCGCGCCACCGTCCACCATCTAAGGCATTGGTGTCTGAATAAGCATGTGTAAGCACATGGGACTTCCCACGCCGTATAGTCGATTGTTCTCCCGAAGCGCTCCTATCTTTTCATCGAGTTTTTAAACAGTAGAAGTTACTGCATACTGACCTCTTTCTCCCTAGGAACATGACTTCTAAATAACCTATAAGGTCATACAACACTTATTTTTCTCCAAGGTACCTTTGGTAGTTGCGGCTTGTATAGAGGATACTGTAGCTTCTTATCAGTTAAATTTGGCCTCACATTTTATCTCCACTCAATTAGTATTAAAATTCTAGCAAGTTGAAACTAAGAGATCAATTGCATACATATTTTGTTCAGGGAGGAAAGCATTGCTCTAGGATAGTCCTTTGACAGATTCGTACTGATCACCTACGAATATGATGGTCTAAAACTAAAGGTTTCCAGAAAATTTAGAAACTATGAATTTTAACAGACTCACGTCAGTTGCTTTTTAGCAAATGTGTTCATTAAAATAAATCACCTAATAACATGTATAGGATTAGTGAATATTTGGTTTCCTGGTATTTGTTAGAAAGAGACAAAAATAGCTACAATTTAAGTGTTAGCTATTACCATTATCACCTTTGAAAACAATCTCATTTCTTTGTTTGAAGATATTTCGTTCACACTCAGCGTTTGTAAGAGAAGCTAAAGCGATATGATTTTGAAGTGCCCCTAAAATAGAAAATTAGTCTAACCGCCCAATTTAGTTGTTTTCATTTACCTTCACAGTCAACTCTGTTTAAAATGTTGAAGTAAATACTATTGGTTCTCACAGTTGATCAACGACTCTGTTATTGCTTAATGAAATGATGAACAAGTTATTTGCACAAATGGGTCTTTACTTTTATATTGACATTGATTGAATGGGTTTGTTAAATAGAAGTTCACAGCCCTCCTCAACTCAGATTTCATTACAACTGCTGAAAGTACTTTAAAATTGATAGCTATTTTTTGATTGTATAAACTGGAGCTTAAATTAACGATTATAGACATCCAAGCAATTGAGTTTGTTTTATATTTTCAGTGGCATCGTATATTTTCACTATCTTTGTGATTCATACCCGGCTATTCTCAGCACTTATTTTAACTATCCGAGATCTGAAGGGTTTTAGGCTTGTGAACGATTTGAGAGAATTTTATTTCTGTTTGTTCCCTTCTACTTTGCTTGGTTTGGCTATGCGGTTAGTATTAATAGATCACAAATAAGCTGATATGAAACAGTTTGCATAAAAATCCTACTTGGTAAGTAAGTGTATGTAGTTATTGTTAAAAAAAATAAGTCGCAGAATATAGTAGATGAGTATGAATTTTATTCATATTTCATAGTATTATATTACTGTGTTTGGTGATGTCGCTTACTAACACTTCATGGTTATATTTGGAATTGTAATTTTGGTTTAATTTTTTTAATATTTCTAGATAAAGAGGTGATCAACAACTTTGTATGATAAAAGTTGTTCTTAAGACAATATCTATGTTTATATAATTTTCAACACTGCAATTATCGTCAAAATTTTATCATTCAACTGCAACATATTATTACGTCCTGTATTTCTTCGACTATGTCAAGGCAATTCACTATCCAATTTTCCATTGGAGAAATATAATGCTTATGATATATTAGGTGTAAAACAATCTGCAACTATTAGCGAGATTAAATCCGCTTATTATGATTTGTCGAAATGCTTACATCCAGACCGATTACTTCATACTAATCCAGAGAAATTGAGGAGGGAAGAATTTCAATTAGTCACGGCTGCCTATGAATTACTTCGTGATCAGGAAACTCGATCACAGTATGATCGATATTTAGCAAGTAATTGCTTGGTCCAAACAGATAAAATCGATGTAAGTCTTAGAGATTGAAATTTATTTCCATTCCTCACAACAGTGTGTTACGGAAGTTATTGGATTTTAATTTTCAAATCACAATGAATTTTGCTAAGCAATCACTAAAGGGCCGTTTCGTCCCGTCGTGGGACTCCTCAGTGGCACACCCACCAAGCGGTCGAACCTCAAGGTCTTGCAGCCTTACGATGAGTGCTCAACCTTCAAGTCACTCGGTTGAAATCCAGTGGTTTACATTTATAACCTCAATCAATTAACGATATTACACAACTATCGTCCATTGCAATCGATGGTATTTATCTCACGCTTGACGAGTTTCTGCTTTATCCAAATCAGTCAGTCAGCTACAACGTAGGACCAGGCACATTTATGCATCGGTCCAAGTTGCCATACCTCATTAACACAACAAGATGGACACCGGATTCATAAAAGTAGTTAATTCAGAGGTGGTAATATATAAAAGAAGGATGGCAATAAGGATATAGCACAGGAAGAAAGAATTGGTTCGTAGAAAGAAAGATATGAAGCGATTTTAATCTCTTAGTTTAAGGGAAGACAGAGAGTGTATACACCGACGCCATTGTGACCGATTCTGAGCCATGTCCCCTAAAGTCTCCAACCATTGGTTACGATAGTCACGCGGACCCCAACCAAGTAGTCTGCATCTACCAACATGGCTCAGACTACAAGTTAGTGACTTCAAGCACTGATGCCACGTTTTGGTTTGGCCGCCCCTAACTTTCTTCCAACCATCTCCAATACCGGATAGCATTACACGACGTGGTAATCGGTGTTCGGGCATACGTAACACGTGGCCCAACCATCTCAGTTGATGAAGATTCATAACCTCATCAACTGATTTACCATCAGTCCCTAATACCTTGCGTCTAACCTCACTATTACTTATCCGGTGATCCCAGCAGACGCCAGCAATATTTCAAAGGCATCTGTGGTCAAATACTAGTAGCTTACGAGTATCTTCTACTCTTAACGGCCATGTTTCGCTGCCGTAAATTAAAACAGAACGGACTGCCGCGCAGTATACTCGTCCTTTTATTGATAGACGGATATCTCGCCTTCGCCATATGTGACGTATATTGGCAAAAGCCAAGCGAGCTTTTCGAATCCGTGCTGAGATTTCGTCCGATACCAACCCATTAGGGCGGATCAGACTTCCAAGATAAGTGAAGTTGTCGACGCGTTCGACTACTTCACTCCCTATCCTTAGTTCAGGTGTTGACGCAGACCAGTCCTGAAGCAACAACTTGCATTTAGAGGGAGAGAAGCGCATTCCAAACATTCTGGCATTGTTGCTTAGTGCTACCAAAAAGACTCTGCATTTTGTCAGCGTCTTCACCAAACAGGACTATGTCATCCGCGTATTCTAAGTCGATAAGTGGACCTCCTGGAAGGAGATCAATACCCGAGAATTCAGTAGACGAGAATGCTATTTCCATCAATAGGTCTATGATGAAGTTAAACAAAAATCGAGAAAGTAGACAGCCTTGACGGACACCACTTGAGGATGCAAAAGTAGATGACAGTTCGCAATGAGCTCTGACTCGACTGGTAGTGTTCGAGTAAAGAGCCTTCACAAGGTTTATGTGCTTCTGAGGTACGCCTTTCAATGACAGACACTGCCACAGAATCTCGCGGTCTACAGAGTCAAATGCTGCTTTTAAGTCAAGAAAGACCACCTTTGTCGGACGCCGATAAGTATGCCTATGTTCTATCTCTTTTGCTTTCGTTGCCCATCACTGCTCACGGTGGTTCCTTAGACTTTTGCTTAACCTAGATCTGATTTGTTGTCGCTTTTCATCGTGTTCAGAGCCTGATGGGATGAGTTTACGAGAATCCATCAGTGCAATAGACCTATAGGAAATCCATTGGTTCTTTGTAACCCTGTGGTTTAAATCACTGATAGACTTGTGAAATAAGATACACTTACAGGTGCTAGAACATTTAGTACACTTTCAGAGGAGCAGCGAACATAGGATAGGAGTGATTTTATCTTACGGATAGATTGTGGTAGATTATTCCAGAGTGGGAAAATTACAGGTAAAGTAATTCATATAGAGAGATAATTTAGAATGCGTTTGTTTCACTAATGACAAGAAGTTATGGATGATAAACTGTTCTAGCTGTTTGTGTAGGATGCAGTATTGATCTACACATACGGTTCTAAAGTGTCCATATCGGTTGGTAATACAATCTAGTCAATCTTAACACTAAGAAATGTTTTTCTTCCTGTTTGCAACACATTTTCAAATCAAAATACTACCATGTCATGAAGTATTCGTTGTGTAAATAAATGTGGTTGGGGTTAATAATCACAAAGGCCCTGGACATAAGTGTCGTGAGATTTGGCTCTTGTAAGTCAGTGATACATACAATCTTGAGGAGGCTGATGCTCCCTGGTGAATTCGGACCCACTTTATCCAGTTTCATAATCTAGGACGTTGTCGCTGAGCTATACTAACCACAGCTAACCTCCCATAGTAATAAGGTACACAGATCCATTAAGTATTAGCCAATATCGTCTTTGTCTAATCTAATCGATAGGATCTGGCCATTACTCAGTGATCAATCAACTTTTGATTTGTTAAAATCAGTAGGTTGAACAATTATGTTACGTAACTTCAAATTTATCTTTCAGTAGCTCACACGGAGTTCGATAATGACTTTCTCAGTCCATCTGTTCTATAAAGATATATCTCCTTGTTTCTTTAAAATACGTGTTTATTCTTTTTTGTCGGTTTTATCTATTTTATTTATATTGGGAATTACAGTATAACCCACAACCGAATAATATTTTGGCATTCCATGGTGTTACTGTACGAATATCTGTTTGGAAAAGTTTACGTTTTCTGCTAATTATATACCGATATATGAAATAATTTATTTATTGTCTATTGTTTTTACTAGCTAACATCATTTATAGAAAAAGCCTTGCACTAAATTCTTCAACTTTTTTATATCTTCCCTGAAATGTAGAAATTGGCAAATTTTGATGCTAAATTTCAACATGCACGTAATTTATATATGCGACACCGGAAATCCAAAACATATAAATCATATCGACGTGAACCGGATGAAGTTGTGGAAGAATTTAGAAGCAAAATTAAAACAAACGTCTACCCTAAAAATATATCAGATTATTATACATGTGAACCTCAACCACGTATATGCACTTCATTTTTGTTAACTATTACGTTAAGTACGTTTTTAGTGTATTGTATATTGAAACTAAATTGAACAATAGCGACATTTACTCTGAAAGTTGAAAATAGTTAGGTTCAAATACTTGTTCTGTAAAAGTATTTATTGTACCATACACGGATGGACCAATCAGTACCGAGATAAAGACTTTTGAATTTTTGCGCTTGAGTCAAAACTGAATGTCTAATATCTAATGTCACGTAAATATTGAAGTAGAAATACAATTATTTAGTGTTCAGAACGTCTAAAATGATATGGGAAGTATTTCGTACGATCATGAGGTAAAGACTGTAGTGTTAAGAGTATCGATTCCCCAGATTTTTCCAGTGTAGATTGTTTTTAGCATTCAAGTCAACCTTGTCCTAAACTCCAAATCCTAACTTCAAGAGATTCTGTGGTGGTCGGTATTCAGTTCGTCTTGATAACCGTCACTAGATAACGCCCCAACGGTATATCAATCAGAAGGCGAATACGAAGTGTTCATTATGTTTATTATAGGACCACACACACATCCAAAATTACAGGTGCGTTAAACAAGCATGAAAGAGTTGAGCCGAAAGGCAAGCAAGCAAGCGAGTGATTCAGCGAACATGAGTGCGAGTAAGCGATTAAACTTAAGTGAGAGAGATCAATGAACATGAATAACATGGACATAAATATACGTAGTGAAATGAATGAATCATCGAATCAATTGAGCGGTTAGTAGTAAGGCTAGCAGCGTGAATAAATGCGTAGGCAGTAAGCAACACTCAAGCATACATGTTTGTACATTCGCAACAATAATAAAGATACAATGACATAGATAAGTTGTTGTTGTACGAATGACTCAGTTCGTTAATAAGTTAACAAAATGACTTAACCGAATTAAATATGAACAAACTCAATTGCTATAATTCTTTTCTTTTAATGTCTTTAAACAAGACTAAATTGTCAAAGTTGTGACTTGACCTAAGTGCTCATTGCTGCTACCAATACGGCTGAGTTATGACTGAAAAATAATTCTATCTGCTACTTATTACAACAGAACGTGACTACTTTGTAGTCGCAAGGACGAAAACAATACTGTGGTAGGAAACTGATTTATTCACTGACCGCTAACAACATCCACCATAATAATTTGCATATCGTTTTACATTTTTCGGTCAATAGATAAATTTGAACTAGTGGTCTTGTTTATTCTGAACAATCTTTTAATGTAAATATCTGTTTACCCTCTGTAATATTATTGGATATTTTCCAAAAATTATTCATTTGAAAAAGTTGTTTTCTGATTGATTCATAATTGGGTTAAATTCGTCATAGTTGTGTTAAGATCGTCTCCAAACTATACTTTTACTTTATAATGTCGATTGTGAGTCAGGTTAATGCATGCTCACTGTTTGTAAATGGCAGATACAAATCCATGTTTGTAGTTTAGGTTTGAACGGTAAATGTAAGTATACTAGAAGCACATTCCGAAAGTGAACTGTAATAGTAGTAATCGTATTTAGAAAATTAATAATCTAAACAACTCAAAATATCCAGTCCACTATATGCCGCATGTTCAAACTCTGCTTCAACCACAGTCTAGTTAACTGGATAGTTTCATATACCTGTACACAGATAATGTGATTCCGTGGTGGACCAAAAAGTGTATTAACCGAAAAACAGCAATAAAGTTATTACGTCTAAAAATTAATGTAGCAATAAACAACGAATAAGATAACACAAATAAAAGTTTAGGGATGTTACTTAAATCAGCAGGTTGGCGCGTGACTTGTTGATTTCGGTACCAGAATCCACAATTATAGGTAAATAATAATTCCAATGAGGCGATATGGCTCCAGTAGTATATCCGAACGTAGAAGGTAATGTGAATGTTACAACAGTCTATAAATATAGATGATAGTTAATTAATCGTTCCGTTATCATATCCACGAACATGATAGAACGAGAGACGTATGTATAAAGGTGTATTTGATTATGAGCAGTTAACAATGTCATGCTATGTGGGATTCAAAGACGGAAGGAAGTATTCAAGGTCATACACTTAAACAACAAGTGCAATCGATAAATGTACAGATTGTGAGAATTGGCAAAATAAATGCAAAAGATATCAAAAACTATTTACAAAATAGGTTTATTAAGTCTGTCTCCGCAATTCAAAGCCAGATATATAAAGGTGGTCTTGGCAAGTGAATCCCACTTTTATGTACAATTAAAAGTAAATATGTAAGTTCAGTATACGTCGTTGTAATGTATACACTAAGATGACTGGTAGGACAAGTCATTGAATTCTCAAATGTTTCTAATATTTAGTAAATTCGTGATATACAGGATTTCATTTTATAAATACACCACCGTACACTACTACTACTAACCGTGCATCTTTGGATTGATCAGATGTTTTTGACTAGTGTTGACTCCAACGCTCATAATTATAACATGGTCACATTTCTTAGAATCCAGAGAACTCTGTTTACGTCATCTTTAAAAAAATCGGAATTCGCTCATCACTTGTTTTATCTTCAGCGGAAACAAAACTTGGAGATTAATAATTTGTTTGTAGTTATCCCTATGCTTAGAAAAATAAAATTTATAAAGTCTCGATGCATTTTGTATTTTATTCTAGGAGGAAGTAAGTTATACTAACTCGCGTAATGTAAACAATTTAGTATCTCTGCTTGTCAGCTCTAACGATCTTCACTCTCTTGTTTGCTCCTGTGTATTCAGTCTGTGCCTTGACCGTTTCTGTTCTTGTTCGACTGTTGTTAATTATATTCTTCTTCTTCTTTCTTGAGTCCTGTCCAGGGTTTCGATAAAGATTCATTCTATATGATGATGCTTCTTGCGGCCCACAACCTCCTGACGCGTTGAGCCCTTTCCAGTTGTCCTTCATAGTGGTCTCCTCTTCGTTGAGTAGATCCTTTAACCTGTTGCTGAGAGCTATTTTGAATTTGTCAGAATGTCGAAGGAAGGCTGTATTGAACCTTTGTAATGTTGTTTTCCCAGCTGTCCAGTGCTTCTTTGGCCACAATCAGGTGGTGATCTGAAGCTATGTCAGTCTCAATAATTCTAGAAGGGCTACACGCGAAGTGAGATCTGTAAGTCCACTCATGAGAGTGATCACCAGACCGGTGACAAATTTCGTGAACACTGGAGACTGCATGCACACTCGTTTATATTATGTAGTACCCATCGGATAATCCTGTGACCAGTCAGTTAAGCAGCCCTACCCACTAACTGCCTATTACCATTGTATAAGCTAAACATAGCGACGAATGACCAACTGAAGAATTCTTTGAGTTAATGCATTATGATGTGAAAATTGTTCATAATGCAACTGATATATATTGAAAGTGTTTAAAGGTCCCACTTGTGCCAGATTGCCAATGCTTCAGGAATCAGCTTCTATTAACCGAGAGAATCATATCAGACTGATAAGTTTGAGCTACAAAAAATTGCAATCAAATAATCATATTAGTAGCCTATATATTATGAATCCATAGGACGGAACGAATCCCGTGTGCTTTTCTCAAGAGTCTGCATCTTAAACTAGAAATACACCATAGCTGTCATAAGTGTCGCACGCGAATGAAATTGTAGGGTTATTTTACACTAACTGTTATACTCATATTGAAGTAGTCATGCCAGCGTTTTTATTATGTACATCACTAAAACTTGCTTATTTAGACTTTCGAAGCTTTTGTTGTTGCCGAGTGACTTTATGTAGACCAAAGTCTATTTGTATTCTGATATACGGTAATGGACTTACACGTTAATACCTGGAGATCTTAAATGAAATTGTCTCCATTATGCATTCCTTCTCTAGCTTTCACTTCGTTAACATGATAATGTTGACAAACATTACTGGGTAGTCGACAGGATATATTTACCAACGATTTTTTTTACAGAAGCCTGCCTATCCAAATACTTAATAAACGTTTCGTTAAAATCTGAAATCCGAGCTATTGTTTTACTTTTACCCCCAGAAGACAAGAATACAAGGATAAAACACAGTAACACTACACATATACCGTTCTATCATTAGGAAAATAACTCACATAAGGTATTTAACAAATCTTAACATGAATATACGATAAGGTCAATTTTTTAACAACTGGAAGGATTATGTATAATTGGAACTAGAGATATATCCAATAATTTAAGTAATAAAAGCAAAGTTAGTGAAGTAGGGGTATAACAGGAGTACACAAACAAATGTTAATAAAAAGGGAATGTACAAGTTTTTGAGAACTTAGTGTGTATTCATAAGAGTATCTTCTTTATAATTGAACGACCAGTAGAACTCTTTGAAGCACCAGGAGGAGTATTCCATATACTGCTGCTTGTACGTGGTCGAATGGTATACTGATAATTACGGAATACATCACTAATATCAAAAGTTATCATAGATGCAGGTAGGAATTCATTTTGCCATTTTAGTTTGTTCGAGTAAACATCAGACATTGCCGCTATCATTTCAGGGTTTCCTTAAATGAAATTGAAAATGATTATATAAGTTGACTATTTTCCCACTCTTTATTAAATTATAAATAGAAAATTTGTGTATTTCTTATTCTGTTTAAAAAATAAATGAGTGTTTCTTTTATAATTATTTCATATGTATCCTAGTTTAATAATTTTCCTATTTTATCATATATAAACACACACAACACTGCATGAAAGATTAATAAGGCTTGTTAGGATAAGTGACTTTCAGCGACAACGGAGCTGATCAGTATTAATCAGTTAGTTATGTAATGAATGTTTTAGAGTTTGTGAATAATTTATTTATTTACCACACTTGAAAATACTACTACATTTGCAGTCGCTTTTTATGTGGGCGAAGTGTGACAGCTTTGGTTAACACATAATCGTGCTACTTCCTATAACCGGTTAGGCTGGTAGGACCTATTAATCATTGAGGTGACTTTATCGGTCATTGCAAAACCGCTTCAGAGTAATTAAAACAAATTATTAATAAAAAAACAGGAAAATGTAGACTAATACCTTTACGACACCAACCAGGAACTTTCATAGTTGGCTCATCGTCGTCTGATTCCGAATCAGAATTCAGCTGTGATATGTCGAAAGAGCCACTGAAATCATGTGAAAAAATATTGGTTATACAACAGTCAAAATCTATTTACATTGTGGTTTGAATTTAAACGGCAAAATTTTAAAATAAACACAACCAAAAATTGAGTAGTTTCTAGTACGGGAGGTAAAGAGATCATTCCTAAATGTAAGGACAACTAGGTTTATTAAAATCATTGAAATAAACAAACTCGAGTCTTTTGATCGCCTTGACTAACAATGCAACCATGTCTGACCTAAGTTTCACTCCCATATGCAAAACACTGCTTACGAACTGATCTGCATCAATACGTCGACTAACTACAGGCAGTTAAGTAGTTGGGCGCACTAACTACTTCACTTATCAGCATCGGTAAGTTGGTGTTTGACAAAATCTCGGTATGGTTCAAGAAAACTCAGCAGGCTCTTGCCAGCTTTCGTTGCTTGGGGAGTAGACGAGATGCCTATCTACTAACCAAATGATAAGTATACTACGTAGAACTTTACCGTTTTAATTTATGGATGTGAAAAGTGGCTTTTAAAAGTAGAAGACATTCGTAAGTTATTAGCGCTCAATTATAGGTGCTTTCGGAGCACTACCTATTTCCTTTGAGACCACTGAAATCAGGCATGGGTACTAAGCAATGATGACAAGCCAGTTGATGAGGTAGTTATATGGTATGACTCAGAATCGACTGCAATGTGGTAAATCCATTCATTCGTTGTCTTCCCTTAAAACTTGAGCCCGAAAATTTCTTAGTTGCTTTTTCTCAAAATCTAATCGTTTTTGCTACTATCGATACTACTCTGGAATTTTGTTTGATAATTTCATCTCGTATGACAACCTGAATTAACGCATGTATGCGCCATGTTCTACGATCGTTATGACCGAGTGCATTAATCCGAGTTATCGTACTACACAATTGTACAAAAATAAAATATTAAAATGAACAAAAATATAGTTTGAGAAGAGTGACTTGATAACAATTAATTGTTTAAAAATCTACGTATGTCATGTGTATAATTAAACAAAGCGATCGTATGCTTGGCCTCCAAGTAGATGTCTTACCGATACTACATCTCATATACAAGGTTTTCTGAAATTTCATAAAATTTTTATCGACGGCCGACTTATTAGGAATAATGAATTTCCTCACATAAGTTGTACAGCGTTATATATATACAGAGAGGCTTACTTGACAAGTGGGCTGCTTATAAGTGACACTTTTTGAGTTATGGTTTCTTTCTCTTCATTTTGCAGTTTCGGTTGTTGGACTACATTGAGTTTAGAAATCGGCTGGGGTTTTGGGCAGGTGTTCGGTTGAATTTGTTTGATCATTGTAACAGGTTTATTTTGTACCTTTAACGTAGTATGATCCACAGGATTTAAATTTACATTACACTTTTTCAGTAGAGTAGTAGTCTGCAATGGTTTAGCACTTACGTTACTTGGCTGGACGGATGTAACAGAAGTATTGTTTTCCTAAAATCAAACCAGAAAAACCAACCAAAGTATTTTAGTCATAAACAATTGAATGTTAATTTTATTTTTGCCAAGTAACCATGTACGACTTGCATCCCAAAATAAAAGTTGATAGTACACTAATATTGGCGGAGCAAATTGTAAAGTATCAACCAACCGTGCTTTAGTACCCTTAAAAATTAGCTAGTTGATGACATATTTGAATAAACGAAATCGTCAAGATATACACCATTTTATGCAGTTAAACTGAATGTATATACAGGTAAGTCCTCGTAGTATCCGTGTGTTTGGCATGTGTTAATAATCACAGATGGGCAACAAAAGAAATATGCTAATGCACAAATGAGAAAACGAAATTGTGAACAGAGAGTGGGAGGAAGAGGAGTATAATTCTTAACGACGAAGAGAACAAAAATCAAAGTTCAGTCAGCTACAACGTGGGACCAGGCACATATGAGTTCCAAGTCGCCATACCGCATTAGCACAACAAGATAAACACAGGATTCATAGAAGTGGTTAATTCAATGATGGTATTATATAAAAGAAAGAAAAATTCAAGTTAACAGGAGTAGTATATATCATGGAATACAATGCAGTAAAAATATAAACGGAGGGCATTTTTTCATTTAAGGCAGTCCTGTTTGGATTTCTACGGATGTAGAACACTATTCTAAGCCATGTCATGTATGATAACATCCCAGTACACCGAGTTGCACCGTCTCTCGGACACGAACCAGGGAGTTGTGACGGGTGACAGATGTCAGGATGGCTTTCTTTTATACCACGGGACCATGTCATAAACTTAACACTTCTTTGATTCTCACAACCAGTCTCAGGATTGGTAAATAACTTACGATATGGAGGCCGCCCAGATGGCATTCTTAAAACATGTTCAAGCTACTGGAGCCGATGTTTCATGATATTGACAATAATCGAATTATCATCACTGTGCTCAAACATAGCTGAACTTCCGGATTACTAACATGGAGTGGCAATTGGATTCCAACAATTCTTCGGAGACAACACAAAGAGTTGTCAGGCATCAACTCGAAAGGGTCAGGACCCCGCGGAAACCCGTTAAGGTGCTCTGTATGTTCAGTTAGTAGAATAATGGGCAAAGTGTTTCAAACACACTGTGGATTGGGCAATATTATCAGGAAAACGATAATCCTTATGAACAAAGTTGTAATTTGGTAAATTTGTCTTACGTTATGAAACATAATATAGCACCAATATCAAGGTATAAGAGTGGATGGTTATTTTCGATTTAAAAGTGTATGCACAAAATCTACCCAAATCACGGTATGATTCTTATGCTTGGCCTTGCGAAACTTTAAGTGAGTGCTACTGATACCATCCGACTCCTGAAACCGAAGTAGGTAGGACGTGTTTCAAACCAACAGCATAGTAAATTAAAATCGAGCATCTTGACCACTCCTCTCAAATTACGAAGTTTCACACGTCTCGCTATTATCCAGTCACAGAAATAAATCCCACGTCACCTACTTCCACTTGAATAACGTTGTTTACTATCAAATAACCGACTGGAATAGGTAAATTAAACTTTGTCCTCGGAGTCGAATATTGACGCCGCTTGGTGAAAGCCAATAATCCTTCGGCAGTTGATAGAGACTGGTGATTCTTCCAACAACCAGACCAAAAATTAAAATAAGTATATGGAATGTCCGAACAACGTGGAACACTGGGAGGTTCAGTGAAATAGCTACAGAAATAAGGAGTAACAACAGGGTGGACAACGAAATAAGTGAAACCCATTAGATATAAGGTAAGATTCGAAACAGATGCAGCTATACTTTCGACATGAAGGGAAAAATGCTCCGCACACTCGGGCAGTTGGTCTGACGCTATCCAGAGAACCACCAAAAGCAATTACAGGACGGAAATATCATAAATCCGGGACCATCAAAGCGTCCCTCAAAACAAGGGAGGGAATCACAATGTTACCCAGTGCTATGTGCCCATCAATCATAGCGATGAAGACGATAAAGATCAGTTTCATGACGGGCTGTAGTCGAACATGGAGAAGTGCCCAAGAAGGGACCAGACCATCCTGATGGGAGACCTAAACGCCAAAGTTGGAGTAAACAACACCGGGTTTAGAGATATAATGAGACGACATGGACTGGTAGAAAGGAACAAGACTGGTGAGAGATTTGCAAATTTATGTGCAGTCAACAAAATTGTTATTGGTTGCCCTATATTCTCTCACAAGCACATACATAAGCTACTTTGGTCTCACTGAATCATACTACAGAGAATCAGACCGATTATATTTACATTACTAGAAAATTCAGGTCAGTTCGAGATGTGACAACAGAGAGTGGGGTTGACATAGCTTCAGATCACCACCTGATTGTGGCCAAAGAAGCACTGGACAGCTGGGAAAACAACATTACAAAGGTTCAATACAGCCTTCCTTCGACATTCTGACAAATTCAAAATAGCTCTCAGCAACAGGTTAAAGGATCTACTCAACGAAGAGGAGACCACTATGAAGGACAACTGGAAAGGGCTCAACGCGTCAGGAGGTTGTGGGCCGCAAGAAGCATCATCATATAGAATGAATCTTTATCGAAACCCTGGACAGGACTCAAGAAAGAAGAAGAAGAATATAATTAACAACAGTCGAACAAGAACAGAAACGGTCAAGGCACAGACTGAATACACAGGAGCAAACAAGAGAGTGAAGATCGTTAGAGCTGACAAGCAGAAATACGTGGAAGAGCTAACAACGATAGTGAGAAGTGTTATCGCAACACTAAGGATCATTGTTGAAAAACCAACTTGATGGAACTTGTCACTATACATCAACTTTCTAGACTATGAGGAAACGTTTGGTAGTGTGGATAAGAGAACCTACGGAATCCTATTCGACACTATGGTGTATCTGAAAAGGTGGTCAACATCATGCGGAATTTATGCGACCGACTACACTGCAAAACCATACATGCAGGACAGCTCACAGACGCATTTCAAGTGAAGACAAGTGTCAGACAAGGCTGTCTACTCCCTCCGTTTCTCATTGTTCTGGTGGTCGGTAGGATTATGAAGACAACCACACCTGATGGGAAGCATGGAATACGATGGACAGGTTGGATGTAACTAGACGATTTGGACTTCCCAGATGACCTAGTCCTCCTATCGCATGCACAAGAACAAATTTAGATGAAGACAACTAGTGTAGCGGCAGCCTCTGCATCAGTAGGCCTCAACGTACACAAGGAAACACCAAGATCCTCAAACACAACACAAAGAACACCAACCTAATCACACTTGATGGAGAAGATTTGGAAACCTTCACCTACCTGGCAAGAATTGGTAAAGCGAGGACAACATTTCTACAGTTGAAGAACATATGGGACTCAGAACGACTGTCTCTCAAGCAATATCAAAGTCAGGATATTCAATACGAACCTCAAGACAGTTCTATTGTACGCAGCTGAAGCTTGGACAACTACTACAACCATCATCAAAAAAGTACAGGTGTTTATAAGCAATTGTCCACACAAGATACTCAACGTCCGTTGGATGGATACCATCAGCAACAGCCTACTGTGGGAGAGAACAAACCAACTTCCTGCTGAAGAGGAAATTAGGAAAAGATGACGAAGATGAATGGGACATACATAGGGAAAATCATCAGACTGTATCACGAGGCAATCGCTAACTTAGAATCCTGAAGAGAAAAGGAGAAGAGGAACACCAGGAAACAGATTGAGTTGGAAATTGAAAGCAGACATCAAAAGAATGAATAGCAACTGGAGAGGATTGCCCAGGACCGAGTTCGATGGAGAATCCTGATGAGTGGTCTGTGCTCATGCACGAGGGGCAACAGACGTAAGTCAGTATATTTTTATCACTTAAAATCACTAAATACCAAAATGTCCAAAATATAGAAGTGGTTAAAAAGAACAAAAGCGATAAGATAATCTTAGTAGTTTAGCGGACAAGGTTAAATACATACTTTCAGTTGAAGATGATTTCCCTGCAGCATCTGTTGATATCGTTGTTGGACAGCAAGAAAACGTTCTTCATTCGCCTTTTTACGAGCTTCCATTTTTTGCTTTTGAGCGTCCTGGAAAGCTCGCAGGCGCTCTTCTCTTTTCTCCATCTGTTCGATAAAAACTTGCCTTTTGGCTTCCATACGCTGTTCCTTATCAGATAAAACGGAACCGGATCGATTCTTCTGCTTATTAGAGTAACCATTTATGGATGTATTAACGGATACTTTTTCGTTGATGGAATTTAACTTCGAACCTACATACGAGCAACAAAAGTAACAATATATAATAACCCGGAAAATAACAATGTGAAATCAATTTTATATCATTTCAGTTTATTCGCACGTGTGGTTTAAACACATCACGGCTCGAGAATTTGTATTTCTTGTCAATAGTAAGGGAATGAAGGAACATACTAATTAACATATATATCTTTAAGGCATGAAAGTCAGTCAGTAACAACGTAGAACTTCGGACGTACGTACATCAGTTCAAGTTGCCATACCACATTAGCACAGAGATACAATTGTCGATCCAAATCCCACAGTGGTAGTAGAGGCAGTAAAAGTATAAGCAGTAATCGGAAACATTACGGTTTGGAGATGTTATTCAAGGAGTACAATCCAGTGAAATAAATTTGGAAAGAGAAAAAAAGGAAAGGGACATGAAGAACTGAGATTAGAATTTGGGAGAACACAAAGAGTGGATGCACCTGTGTCATTGCAAACGATTTTGAGCCATGTCATTCATGGTCTCTAACCATCGGTTGCTGTCGTCTCGAGGATCCAAACCAGGTAGTCTACACGTACCAGCACAGCTCAGTTCACTTGTCAGTGACTTCATGGATTTGTGCTACGTTCTGGTCTGACCGCCCCTAGCTTTCTTCCAACCTACTCCCATACCATAAAACATCGCTTGTCGGGGCATTAAGTCGTTAGGCATACGTAACACGTATCCAAGCCATCTCAACTGATCAAGTTTCACTACTACATCAATTGACTTGCCACTCTTACCTAGTACTCGTATCCTAACAACTGCATTACTCGCTGGTCCCAGGATATACGAGCAATGCTTCGAAGACACTTATGATCGAATACTAGTGACCTACGAATATCCTCTACTCTCTAACCTGCTCTTCACGAGCTTTAGTTAGGCGTCGAAGTATCAGTGAAGCTAATATTTTAGACACTATATTAGTCAAACTGATTCCTCTGTGACTGTCACAAGAGGACTTTTGTCCTTATTGACTGGCACAATCAGTGATTGAGACCAGTCAGATGGGATTACGTCCAGTTCCCAGATTTTACCTAAGACCTCAGTCAACCTCACTGCTAATACTGGACCGCCATCCTTAAAAATCTCGGGAGTAAACCTGTCAGGGCCTGCTGCCTTTTTCATGAGGCATGAAAACGTGGGGTGGAACCACTAATGGATTGTAATGCTGTGCAAACAACTCGAGGACAGTGAATAAAAACTGGGACTAGTGAACAACAAAACAACGATGTTGTTTCTTATCCATTATGTTACTTTGGGTCTGGTTTTAGTGCATCCTTTATGTGATATGGAAACTATCTCAAGATTTCAATTTTAGATACTGCTATGAAACTGCTGGTAGTTTGTGTGCTTATCAGATAAATAAAAGCAAAGTGTAATAGCGTATCCTACGTGAGAAGTCTACAAAGATTACATTGGGAGACTGCATATAGTTTTCGGAAATAGATTATATTGATAAACAAGGGGCAGCTTGTTGATTCTATGCTGAAGACAATTTGTTATTGGTACTAACTGAAAAAGGAATAAAAATTTATATTTAACGAAGATGCAATTCTGATTCAGACTTTTCAGGTATGTTTATGAACTTTATTAGGAAGGAGCGAAATATATAACTCTGAAGTTTGGTTGTATTTGTTAATTAGAGCAAATAATCTATTGATACTGTAAATTGCATACCTACGTTAAATTACTGACTACTTAATATTAACCATTGAGAATTCAATAAATTCAAATTTACATGTTGCTGGGATGCTTATTTTATTGTACATTTTGATTAGTTGTAGTCGGCGGTTGTTGCATAAACGTAGCCTTACTTTCTTCCTGGAGTTGAGCAATATGAGTCTTCGTTTTTACTGTACAATAATAAGTAGCAGTTTTTCCCCAGCCAAAACAAATGTCCATAAAAGTGGAAGTACAAGCTTTACATGACTTGTTTGTTTCTAATAGACCCTAGTAGTTTTTTAATAATTTGAATAGTGGTTAAGAGTGGAAACCAGCACGAGTTTCGTCCGATTTTAAACCTAACCACTGGATGTCAACGATAAAATTTCAACCACTATATTTAATGGTTTTGCCTAATATTCTTACAGCACTGATCATATTATTTTATGTGGCGTGTGTGAACCTTGTCAGGATTGATTTGATGAGCAATGAACTTAACCCTGTAGGCTAAGGTATCTATGTTTTAACACAGCCGATGCCATTTGTGTAAAACATACGAGGATTTTACACAGAATAAAAGGTCACAGTAATTTGCTCGGTATCAGATAGAAAATTTGGAAGGCTTACCTGTTCTTGGTTTTGATGCCTGGGTGGGATGATTTAGAGAATTGAGCCTCGAAATACCACCTAATCTTTCGGTGGATGAAAACAAACGCGATTTGCCACAAGTACTAGCAGCTTTGTTTTCAAGAGAGGTAATCCTCTTATCAGTTGCGGGAACTGGAAGTCTTGGGATGTGTTTCATTTGAGTTTCAGTTGAAAATATGGAAGGGCACGGCACTTTCTGTATGTTTGATAAGTCACCAAATGGTGATTTGCTTACAAATGTACTATTGTTGCCATTTACATTACTTCGTGGGAGAGCACTTGATGAATCGGAAAGCGAAGTAGCTGACTCGAGGCTAGGAGACTTTGTATTATTAGTGGAGGACGATGCTGTAGTTGCAGGAGCATGACCTAAAGACACAGTCAAATTCAGTAACTGTTCATCATTCGGCGATGCCTCATCTTCGACATTATGTTCTGACTTTGCATTCAACCCTGTCTGAAAGATAAAGATACTACATAATAGTAACAGCAAGATGTGAAGCCACCACTGAATGTAGCTAAAAGACACCATAATTTACGTTTACGCATAGTTGCAAGATTACTAACGCCTGGATAGGAATCAGACTAAACACAAAACTATCAAAATCAATTTCAACTACATAGTTTATTATCATGTGTAAAACGATGTCAGTGTCTACTGTTTTGGATCATTGGGTAACGAGTTCAAACCCAGTACATAAACTTAAATTCTGAGGAAAACTTATTAACGTACATAGTTGTGTGCTGAACTGAGAATTATGTATCTAGGATGTACATTGGTATTTACTATTGATTACGTGGCTGAGGTTGAAGAACGATTCGGAATCGGTTGCAGTGGTGAAGACACCTATCTTCCCCCAAAACCTGAGGTTCATACTCTTATTCCTTTTAAAAAAACATTCCCTATGTTTAGTCTTCATTACCATCATTGATATTGCTATTTTAATTTCTTTTCCATTCAACTTATTAATTTCATCTTGATGTCACAACTTGAGGAGACTCACATTCGTGCCAAGTCCTAAGACGATTACGAATAAATAATTGACAAATGGGATTATGGAAGCTAAGTACATAGAACTTCAGTACACCAGAAATAAAATTCCAGAAAACCTTTCCGCGCATAATTACTAATCGCGATTTTTAAGCGATAGAATGTATATGTTTTGCCAAGTGATCTTTATGACCAAATTACCGTAGTTGTAATTTTTTTCCTTTTGATAACCGTGGAACCATATGGTATATCAAACACCCAGGACGGAAAAAAACTTTGTGAATCGTAGGTTACATGTGTGCAACTAAGGGACTGGGCAGAAGATCTGAAACCTAAACACAATCCACATAAATTTCAAATCAATCCCACTTAATATTTTGACATTGTGTAAAGTAATATTATTAGTGGAAGATTTAAGAGGCTGGCAACAAGACACTGGGATGATTGTGACTTCAACAAATTATACAACAGATTTTCACATTTGGTAGGAGTAAGTCGGATCCTGCAAGTTAACTATGGTATAACTAACAGGAATATAGTACAATGAATAGTGGCATCATAATAAAAAATGTGGTAGAACATGAAAGGTAAGTATTCTGAGAACCAACTATGGAAACAAACGAAGGAAAAACTTTTACCTTATTAAAACTGGTACGTTTAACGAGTGGTTGGTAATCTGAAGTATCCATCGATAGAGTTCGTTTCTTTCCTGACAACTTTTGAGCAGATATTTGTATGTCCCCAGTTCTGGAGATATAAAGTTCGCTCTCGTTAATTTGATCACACTTTCTTTCCTAATAAAGTATGAAATACGAATCTAAATAGAAAAATCTGTATGGTAAGATGATGTTTAAATGTATGAAAAGAAGTGCACTTATTGCGTGACAACTAATGATACTAATTGGTTGATTAAACCAAAACTAGGTAGTGAGATTTAAACCTAACGTTTAATGGTTGGAAACCAAGATCATTAACTACTAAACTACCATGTCGGTAATGTTAATCAGTAGTACGAGCTTTAGTTTGGGGATAATTGAGACCTGCTAGTTGAAAATAAGATATCAAGATCGATTAGCGAAAAATTAGGATGTCACCGAAATTTCATATTAAATTACGCTTACCTCAACATTGGTAGTCCACTCGTTTAGTGGTTCGAAGTTGGAAACATAAGCTGAAATCTGACTTTTATTTGTGGGGCAGAGAGTTGTTTGAAGGATGCTTGCATCTAAAAGCTGGGGCTTATGGCTCTTCAGATCGCAGATATTATCACTTGGCTGAAAGATCTGGGAAGCGAAGCAGAAAAAGCTGTGCTTAGAAAACCAATAATTACGAGGAACAAGTCAGTGCAAATGCCTTCATGACCGTTACTTATTGCTTTGTCCGTGTTAATAACATATGTTGACGTTAACGCGTCAGATTTCCAGGATTATACGTTACAGTATAGTTTGTTTACAGGAACCAATTAACCAGAACATCGAGGCAAAACCAAAAAGTTTGTATTTGCACATTAGTCGGAATCACGTAATAGGAGTTTTGGTGTAAATACAAGAAATCTATACCCTGTGGGTTTAAACTTTGGTCATTTATCATGAAGTCTGAAAGTCTTCAGTCAATCTTGACGTAAGGCTAAGTGAGTATTGACGACAAAACAATGTTAGGATATCAGGAGTTAATATGAATAAATCCTTGGATATACCTGGTTATATATTTAAATAAGCGGAGGTGGGCATTCTAATCAGACATATTAGAAACCTCCCCATGATACGAACTCCCAACCATTTATAGAGCAGTTTGGTACAAAGTCACCAATAAGTGAAACACATTAAGTCTTTATTTCCCATACGGAAATTTCCTGAACATAAGAACGAGGAACTTCCATTACAACCAAAGCAGGAACTATAGCTAGGTTTAAAATCTACAAAGCTGACAGATGACTGATTTCTCGTAAGGACCAGGGTAGAAAAAGACAACTTAGGATGGATGGGTTGCGTAATTACTGCAACCTGCAAAGTTTACTAATCCAGTCAATTAACTGCAACGTAGGACTATGCACATATATGCATCGGTCCAAGTTGCCATACCTCATTAGTAGATGAGCACAAAATCTACTGAAGCAATTGATTTTATATATATATATATATATATATATATATATATATATATATATATATATATATATATATATATATATATATAAAGATTGAACATAAGGATATGATACAGCGAGAAAGAATTAATTCGTAGAAAGAATGGTATGAAGCAATTTTAACCTCACGGTTTAAGGGAAGGCAACGAGTGTATACACCCACACCATTGTGATCGATTTTGAGCCATGTCACCCAGTCTCCAGCCATTGGTTACGATAGTCAAGCGGACCATAACCAAGTAGTCTTCATCTACCAACATGGCTCACACCACAAGTTAGTGACCGGTAGTTAGTGGCTCTATGACCTGATGCCACGTTTTTGGTTTTGCCGCCCCTAACTTTCTTCCATCCGTCTCCAACGCTAGCCAGCACTGCGTGCCATGGTAATCAGTGGCTGTATAATACATGGTCTATCCATCTCAGTCGACGAAGATTTACGACCTCACCAACTGATTTACCACCACTCCCTAACACACTGAGTTTAACCTCACAATTACTTGAAATTCACTAAATGACATGCTCTAATTAGTACCTCAACTTACATCTTTGAGTTCCGTTTGTTTCGGACTATCTTTCGCAATGCGCAACTGCTTACTTAACTTTCTGGAGTTCTTTAACAACTTGGTCGGCGATTTATGCGACTCTACTACCTGGTTTAGTTTTGAACGGTTTAGAGGACTGTGCTCACATCTCGCGGAGTGAATGCTCGTTTTTACTTTCCGCTTTTGGCTAACCACTGGTTTCAACAGGGGGTCTTCAGTTTTCTCAACCCTTTAAAACTAGTTAATTAATTATGTAGAACATACTGTTTCTCAATGTCTTCACTCAAAACATCATCATCCACATGGGTTTCAATGCCTCCCAAAGCGGCAGTAATTTCTTTGAATGTCGCTTGAATGTTTTGCTTTGCATCATTTATAATATTCTTGAGAATATCTTCAGTCAGAAGGAACTGTTGGTACAGCTCCATCAACGGAATTCATGCGGCGCGGCGATCCCAAGTACTTAACAATCGCAAGTTGTTCAAACACGTTCGAATTCAATCTTCAGCTTGCAATCGCATCAATAGAAAATCAAGTGCCTCATAAATATAACTTACAATTTATAAAACTTTCAAGACGCAGTCTACCTTTCAGAGTATAGTAATAGTTAACTACTCACAACAGATGTAAGTAATTAGCTGGTAAGCGTTCCACATTGATAGTGATAACATTTGTCTTACTGAACACACCACTAAATTTACACGTCCGACCAAATATTAATGTCACATCATATCGGGATGGAAGAAAGTAATTTCTGCAGTCTCGCTCACGAGCAACATGCCGGCACGTGAAACGTGCTGGCGTGTACATAATGGAATCGATACATCTCAGCTCAGTGAAGAAATTTACTATCTGGTTAACTTCCATTCATTTGAACAATTTAAGCTCGTAGTCCGTGGCAAATAATATTAGTCTATTTCGGGATTTATGCTAAATTTGACATATTGTTACGTCAGCTTTAATTTTGTCTTCCAAGTCAACCAAACATCGTATAATTTAAACAGGTTCACCCTGATATATTTACCGAATTCGTATTGAATTATTGCCTTTTGGCATTTACTAAGGATTCAGTTTTATTTGTAATGCGAGTTAATATTGAGATCATTCATAAACGTTGTACTAAATTATAACTTGTGTGTTTGTACTCGTGTGGGGACGAACCCTGGTGAGCTCAAGGGAGCTCTAGGAAGCCCCGAAAGACCTGAATGTACCCTATTTTAAATCCATTTTGAAAGAACATTCCGGAACCTCGGCGCATAGGTTCCAGATTGGAAAAATGCTAAAAACTGAATATTTTCACGCTGTTTGGAATAAGATTCCTTCCTACTTGTCTTCTGTCGTCTAACTTGCGATTTGAAGAATTCTGGCGTTCGAGTGCTCAAGTTGTACGTGGCAAATAATACAAGCTTTGAATAAAACAGTAAGTTTCTATAATTCCATCCATGTTAGAACGAAATTTACTGAGTAATGCACCAACAAGTTTAATTGGAGCTGGTAAGCTCATATACAAATGATGTACTTTTGAATATATTCCGTGAACTACTATCTAGTTAACAACAGAAGACAGTGACAACAAACATTTACGTCTATTAGTCACTACAGACCTCGGGAATTATATGTTTTTGATAGCAGCTGATTATACTTGCCATCTACAGAAGGGGTAAATGGCTTGAACACACAGTTTGTCAACATTGTTGAGAATTACAATGAAATTTTCTGTTCATAAATGATTCTTCGCATGAAAGATTTCTACTTTTTCAGGGCTAGAGACTAAATGGTACTCCCAGGTTAAGGGTAACTATGCAGTTCCAAATTTGACTTTTCATGTGGATCTCAATAACGACATGTCAGCTGAAACCGGAACAAACAGTTAGAAGGCGAATGTGCAAAAATTGTAGTTTAGAGCTTCTAAAATTATCTGCAGAAATCTTATGGATGATCTGCTATTCCGCAGTAGCTGATAGATGCTTCAACGTGAATTGTCTCATAATTATCACCAAGGTACGCATATGTAAACAAAAAATAACATCGAGTTGTCAATTATAGAGCATTCAGCTATGTCAATACTGAGACCTTATTAATCCTCTGTACGTCGTTCGTCCGTTGGAAACTGTAGTGAGCTGTTGGAAGAAGTTCAAAGAACCGTAAATAAGTTGATCTCCAGAATCACAAAGCTGCCGTGTTACAAGAAACTGGCATAACTAGGTTGGCCTTCTCTGTCATACTGAAATACTAGAGGTGACTTGGTCACAGTTCCTTTGATTACTTATTCATAAATTTGCCTTCAACATGTTCTCGTCTACCTTATAATTCCAAACCAAATCTTCGAGAACACTTTACAAAACTTCACAAGCCCAGAATAAATAATTTGTTAGCTTTCCATCGAATCACCAATGAGCGGAACTCATCAGCTTAAAACGTGGATAAATATTCACTCGCCGTCACAAAAGAAAGTTTGAGATGGACCACCATAGCAAGAGTCGTGGTTTGAGACTGGTGGTTTAGATGAACTTAATGTTCGGCTGAGATCTTGCTAGTAATCAATTGCTATCCAGTAGACACGAAGACATGAAGACATATTGGAGGGAACGTACGTGTCGTGGTTATTATTTATTGCATGTACGTTTCTTTATCTCCATATATAAATATAAGTGTGCAATGTTATAAGTCATTTGCTTTTATAAATATCGTGAAATCAACGAGGTGCTTGAATATATGTACTGATATTACCGTAGTGCCATGCTTAATAATCTACTTTGTATGAAACACCTGTACTTACGTACGCCAAGCAATACCGGTCTACGTTTTCGTAATGTCGCAATTACGATTATAATAAACACAAATATGTTTGCGGCTGAAAATGCAATCTAATACAACATTTAACAGCAATAACAGTCGGTTGATGAAAGTAATAATGACTACTTTTAATACTGTTTATTGTTAAGTTCACACAGGATAATAAGGTGTTAATCTGCTGTTTGTGCATCGATGAAACTAGTGTCTTGCTTAATTATTTAGAACTCACTGAAAGTGACTTGTGACTCTTTTCAACAGTCAGGGCACAAGTATCACCAAGTCTGTCGGTAATTTTCCATTGATATCGTCTTGGTTGATCCAGTGCCTAGATTACATCGACTCTCCTTTCTGCCCGTGTCCATGCAAATAAAATAGGATGATGGAAGCTAAAGTTGTCAGTTATCGCTGACCGAAACAACTAATACTTACAAAGTAAAAGTTATCAAACAGCAGTCTCACTTTTTGTTGTTTGTATTGTAAGTAGAACCAATACTGAAAACTTCTGGATATTCTTTATATAGTCCAATCTGGTCTCAGCAAACGTAGCGGATCATAGTTACGAGTCAGTCTTCGGAAGGAAGTCCTCTCTCTCCACCTCTTTGTCCTTGGAAACCGAAGGCTTACAGTCGAGTCCCACAACCTGAAAATATGCTTACATGCCTACCCGTAGACGTTTGCACTTTCAATGTCTTCGAATCAGTTATAGTGACTGCATAACCTGTAGGTGCTGTAACACATTCAACCACCTGATCTTAGGATGATGACTGGATTGGCACTAATCCAGACTTTTATTATCCTCTGAAGCCAATCAGTTCGTCCAAGGATCACAAATCATCTATGAAATCTCACAAGGATGATTATGTATCATCCGGCATGGCTTTATCACGTACTTATTCTATTGTAGATCCACGAGGAACATTCTCATTTCAGAAACTTGGACCTGGAATATCACTTTAAATGTTTTGATCTTTATGGTTTATTAATTATTTCGAAACCTGGTGATTTACGTTTTCGATCATCGCACACATGAAAACATCGAAAGCTTACTTGAATCTAGGGTAACTTAACGAGAAACTTCCTATGTATATTGAGTATAAGTGGTCTAAAACATTAAAGAATGTGTTTGAGTTCATTCGACCGTCTTTCGAATTCTTCACAACTTATCAACCGTCTGCTCAGTATGATACACGCAAATGCACCAGTCAGGTCTACCAAAGTATTTCTCGAACAAGAAGCACGGCAAGTGGGACTACCGTAGCAGAAAACAAAAAGTTGATTATTAAGGGTAGAATTTATTAACTACACTTCAGAAAGTACCAGTCATGCTAATGAAAGACGACACCAACCCCAAACTCACTGATCATCAGTCATCTATCTAACTCTGAATAGAACAATGTGTCACGCAGATTATCGATCAATAGAATCATATGTGGTTACTTTTAACTATAATATTTACTTCCCTGGATATAACAGACTCTTCAGAAAAATTATTCAGCCACTGTCTCTTATAAAATGTCATACAGCGGCAACTAACCTGGGGTTTGCACCAGGGAAGACAAATAACCTCGTTTATGTTGTTGACAACGGTGAAAATGACACAGGTATTCAGTGTTTGACAACGCATCTACTAGTAACACCTAATATAATTCGTTCCCACCGAGAGAAATCAAAAGACAGAGTCGAGGAGATCGGAAGAGTATATTTGGCGATAACCAATATATCGGAATTCTCTGATCTAATCTGGCTAGCGATTGCGGTTGATGTTGAGCACGGCGTTACCACACGTGATCTGGTGCGGATGCCTGACCGAGCGCCTTCAGCTAGATGAGTCCACTAAAACATATGGTCAGCATCCAATGTCGAAAACTTACAGGGCTATTTATTTTGGGGATTTATTTACCGCTACAGATCACTCCCCCCTAGTGGGTTAGTGATGACCCTAAGACGTGGCCAGCCAGAAGTTTAAACCCAGCGAGTTTGTCGTTGGTAAACACTCTTCTGATAGCTTGCTAGGATTAGCAGCGTCTGGTCGTCTTTCCTTACTATATGGGACCGAGGTACAACATAGTAAAAAAAGAAAAAGTACAATGAAAATTTCGACTCCTCATAAACGTCATCGTTCTTTTCCAGCCGTCCTGGAAAAGAAAAAAGAAAATGTAAGTGCATGTCGAAATACACTCGTATGTGCGTAAAAACACAATGTCGGCGAAAAAAAATGGAATATAAACTAATTTACACGTAATATCGTTAAAAAATTGTTGTTTTTTTTGTTTTTTGGAATAAAAAATAAAAATATATAAGCATATTAAAATTGTTTTTTTTAAAATATATATCGTAAAAAGAAAGATCGAGATAATATAAATGTCGAGTAGTGCCTTACGTGCAATAGTCGTTTAAATGCTCTGGAAATCTAACTCTTCTTCCAGAACGCGTCGTTTTAAGTTTGTTTTCAGATACATTCGGAGTATCATCGCTAGTGTTGGTTGTCGGTTGAGGAATTATGAGTGGAGTCGTGTCGTTCGATTGTACCGAAGGAAAATCGACGTAGATAGGATTTCCTTCTAAATACGCTGCTTTGAGGCGATCGATGCTGATGCTATCGTTGGTTCCGTTCTTATCGACTATATAGTACTTAGATTCGCGTTGAAGAACTTTGAAAGGTCCTTCGTATG